TTTACGTGGACCGCTTTTGTTCAACCTTGTCACGCTGATTAAATGGAGATAAACTTGTTTCAGCGTGTTTTTACTCGTTCTTTACACACAAACAAATGAAAAGTGGTAGAGTAAAGAGAACGAGTATTGTGCTCAAAAATTTTTTTTCAGAGGATATCATTCATCTCAGAACTTACAACATGTACAGAAAAGACAATGGTATCATTTTAAAGTGCAGAAGTCCGTCAGTAAATCGTAAACGGATTGTTTTTCGACTTTCAATGGAAAATTTTGAGAAAACGAACATGTAATAAACGAGATTTCGGGGCCGGTGTCGAAACTAACCTCATTTCAACCTCTTATATCTTTTCACCAATAATGGTACCCTTAAAGTAACCATTACGAACATGTACTCCTATATTCAGTTAATATAAAACCTGGAATGTTTTTTATCACGCACAATGATAAATTCGGAGAAATATCAGGTTAAAGATCGTGTTGAATGAGCTTCGGCTGGACTTCGGAAAGCCGCTCCGCGCGCCAGCTCCGGGGGTGCCGAAGCGGGGGCGCGGAATTCAAAACAAAATGTAGAGCGGCAGAGCGTCTCTCAACACATTGAACAGGGGGCAGGATAAGCGAGGTGATGTAGATCATTTACAATCCACTTTTCATTTGCATAATAGTAAAGAACGAGTCCTTTCATCTTAATATCAATTGATTGATATTATACAGCTTTTTGTGTTTTTAGCTTTCTTTACTTCTTGTTTTGTTCTATGAAACATCTTGTAGTTCTATGAAACATCTTGTAAAATGACGAAGGCATCACCCTATTTCGTAATTTTACAAGCGATTTGTGCAACGAAATTACCCATGGATTTGTTGTAATTTTAGGAAACATTTCATATTTCTGTGACCTTGCTGTAGTATCATCGTCACCTTTGAGATGTATATAGCCCATACCATTTCATAAAGCAGTGTTCACAAACAAATTTCATAAAATTAAGAAGATTACAGTGATGAATAATCCATAAAACGGCCTTTACAAATAAATTTCATAAAATAACGAAATGTTATTGTTACTTTACAAGGAATTTGTAAAAATAAAATTCGTAAATTCACAATAATTTTTTACAGTGTAATGTGTATAAGTTACTGGGAAGAATTTCACTCTTCACTGTTAAAAAATGGTTGTACAGAAACAATCAGATGAGTGAAAATTTAGTCGTTCCAACACATAGAATTTCATCATGAACCAAAGCAAAACAAATGTCGTTGAATCAAGTAAGCGACAATTTGTCGTTGAAGAACAAAATTCCTGTTATCACCCTTAACGATACAATTTGTGTGGAAACATCATCTTTTGCAATTATCTGCTCAATTAAAGTATATTGTGAATAATCATCTGTTTTGTTCTTTTAAGACATAGAGAAATCATTACTCTTAAAAAAAGAACCATGCAAAATAAATTAAGCGACAAAAGTACTCCATGAATACTTGTCGCAGACATTACAAAATCTTTTTCGACTCACAATACTTGTCGTTGAATAACAACATTTGTTGTTGGTCAACGACTTGTTTTGGAAGGTGGACTGTTCATGTGTTATTACAAGTTAGTTGTTGTGAAATTATCCTTTAGTTCTTCCACAGCAAATCTTGTCGCTAAAAAGTTAGCGATAAAGGTGTCGCTAAGTTACGACAAAATTTTTATCAGTGTTCTATCAATTCAGTCGGTTCTGATTCTACGTGAACTTAGCATCCTGATGATCTTTTCCGGGCGTTAGGAAACCCCCGTACAACCCAATTCTTTAACCGAATAAAACACTAAGAATTCTTGAAATTTTTATTCAATCTCACTCAATTTCAAACCTGCAAACTTTTTCGCACGAACGTGTTCACGAAAAGCACGATGTGCAAAATTTATTCTAAGGAGTTAAGTGAGCACATTCCGATGTGAGCTGTTGTAGAGTAATTCAGAGTACAGGCAGTTTAAAAACTGCATTCAAGGTCGCTGTTAGTTATGCTTACTACTTTGATTCTGCGACATAGATTAGAACTGGCAAAAACCAAATTTTTCCTGCCAAGACCATTTTTCTATGAAAACACTTAAAATGGATCACCGTAGTCTCAGCACGGTTGAAACATTGTGAGTGTAAGATCTATCACAAATAGCGAAGTATTGACTCTCTATTTTCACTTTTTCACTTTTCAGCCTTATTTACAAAAAACTGGAACTCACTTTCAAAAAAGGGCGACGGTGTGAACTAGATATATGTGTCAAGTATCCTGTACAGAATACCTGGACCTGGAGATCACACTGAGAATGAATTGGTCACCACCATCACCCTTTTAATGGGTGATGCAACTTCGTTGCCCAAATTTTGGTGACGAAAAATTCATCACCCAAAATTGGGTAACAGGCGTTTGGTCGCCCAAATTTGGGTAACGCCGTCGGCGACGCCGTGAGGTTCCCGATGGCGTCCTTCCGGGGCCACCACGATGACATGAGGCCTCAACGCCACATTGGGTCATCGTGGTGGCCCCGGAAGAGCGTCACACAGTGCGGCCGATCCCGAAAAACGCGGACATAAATGACTTTTTCAATTTCAAGCTGCAATTGTTTCTACAGTGGGATTCGAAACTAGGATGATTCTTAGGTCTAAAAACAGTTTACTCATATTTTTGCACACCCGAGAACGTCTTCTGTAGCCCTTCAAAGATACGTGTTTTGGCGCCAACGAAAGGGGCAACATAACCTATACATGTTTCCAAAGCTTTTATCAAGTTCCTTGAGCCACCGAAGCAGGCTGCGCAAATGCCCCAGGTACAGCTCGATCCCTCGTCTTTCACGAGCAATAAGGAACTTTACCAATATTTGCAAAATAAGTATTCTAAATTAACTTTTTCTTAGGAGCCCGCGCGTCTTCAAATTCACATAGTTTCGATTGAGATATAAAATGATTCCCGGGGATTCCCGTCGTTTGGCGCACATCAAATTAAAGCTTGATACTTCCTTGATCGATTCCAACAAAGATTGGTCCCAGCACGCCCCAGCCGCAGTTGTGCTGAGCAAGTATGTTCCTTGATTTCTGCACTTGTCGCCATATTTCCACCTTAGTGAACGGGTCGGTATCGATACAACAATCACAGCAGGGACAGTCAAATTGAGTCTCCTCAAGTTTGGAAGGTCGGTGAATCCGTCCGTGACCGCATTTTTGACAAAACAGGGGCGGAACCAGGAACAAAAAGGGGGTAAATTTTGAAATTTGACCAAATTGTTTAAAATTTTGTATTGGGGAGTTTTAAGGGTATCTAAATCCGTTTTTGGCAATTTTTTGGACATATCAAGTAAAATAGAACTTTCCCCCCTTTTAACTCCCTGATCCGCCCCTGTTATAGCAAAATTAAGTTTTGAAATGGATTTAGAGACCCTTAAAACCCTTCGGTGCAAAATTTCAGTCTGTTTGAAATACTTTTAAAATTTACCCCCTTTTATATTTCTGGTTCCGCCCCTGCTGTATCAAAATTAAGGCAAGAAATTCAGGGGGTCGGCCTAATGAGTGTAAGTTGGGGTACCCGTGGCGCCACCATGCGGCGGGGCTAAGAAGCTCTGTAGCCAACCTACTAAACATTAAGACACACTAAGAATTGAGATGTTTGAAAGAAATTGAGACGTTTCGAGCTGCAGAATTTTTTTCGCCTTTTTTCTGACAATAATTTAGCCATTCTCTAGTCACATTTGAGTTGTTTATTTTGCTAATTTGTGAAAACGTAAGAACAAAATGATTGTGTGTGAAGTTTGGCAGCGGGCCCCGAGCAGACGAAAATAACCCTACTTAACTTACGAATTGTCAAGCAATTATTCGATCGAGGCAACAGTATTTTTTGTAAATGTGGTATTGTCAAGACCGGCGATAACATACTTCGTCATATTTCAAATAAATAACTTAGTGAACAAGCCTGACTTTTGTCACAGCCATGGTCACAAATACCATCAACAACACCCCGATCACGGGACAGCTTCGTAGCCCCACCGCATGGTGGCGTCGTGTCGTCCCCTGCGAGTGTAGGCACAAAGCAGGCTCGTACCGACCCTCTGAATAGAAACAGAGACCCCGCAAACGTATCTGAGCGAAAGCTCGTCGGCCTACGTTTGCTAGGAACAGTTTTTTTGAAATATGTCCGTCTTTTTCGGGATCGGCCGCACTGTGCGTCATCGGGGACCTTACGGCGTCGCCGACGGCGTTACCCAAATTTGGGCGGCGATTTTATGACTGCCCAAAATTTGGTCACCGCGGGCTCGTCACCCAAATTTGGGCAACGGTGCGTGCGTTACCCAATGAAAGGGCGATGGTGGTGACTCTTTCATTCTCAGTGCAATTACTTTCCGAGAAAACGTGCGCACCGAAGGTTGGCAGCGTTGTTTTTTGGCCGAAGTTTTCTACACTCATAGGGTACTTGGGTTAAATGTCTGGCTGAATTTGGAATCTATAAGGAACACATTACTACAAGACAAAATTAAACTCCTTAAGGTAGGAGGGAGTTTTCAATGAAAACTAGGCACTTTAAAAAAGGGGGCTTCAATGGGTATTTCCCACCTTAAGAAGTGTGAACCATATTGGGTGTTGCCCCTTCACGGTAGAGAACCCACCACACGGTAAAAACGGAACCTGGTTTTCCCAGGAAGCCTATGGTGAAGGTCTGGGCGATTTCCATGGAGTTCCTGGGAAAACCAGGAACCGTTTCTACCGTGCAATCTTCTCTTAATATTTTTGTCCCCCCCCCTCCCTCCCTTATGCATTTTTACGCACAATATTCGAGTTCCAGGTATGCACAAAATCGTGCAAGAAAGCAAAGAAAATTTCAATGGAGCACAGGCCTCTAACAAAAGCAACAAGGGTGCCAGAAGTGGGGGGGGGGCCTCACCCCCAAAATCTGGTAGAGGGGTGTGCAAACCCCCCTCCCCTCCCCGCAGGCCCGGGAGCACACCTCAATCGAATGAAGTGACCATCATACACGTTGCGCCCGTACTCCGGTATCGCGGAAAAGTTTCGGTTGCAGTGTGCGCCCGATAAAGCTCAACAAAAACAAGGCGCGACTTTCTCAGAGCAGCTGGCGCGGCACTATCCCTCGCCCCCCTCCCGTCTCCCCCAACGGCTCGGCTCGAACGCCGAGTCAGTCGGGTCGAGAGCCGAGCGGCAACCGAAGGAAGCGCGAAGCAAGCGTCACCAGTCAGTCGTCAGTTCAGTCCAGTCAGTCGTAATTCAGCAGTGTGCGTGAGTGTTGCGTCTCGCGTACGTCGAGTTCCTCCCGGCGTGTGGCGTGCCACTGTTCGTCTCATTGACAGCTCTTCTCAGAGCGCGGCCGTTCATCCCAACGTGGACCTCGTCTAGCAGTGAGCCGCTTCGACCGGCAGTCTTCTCAGGAGCCATGCCACAAGGTGAGTTCCGTTTTCGTTTCGTAGATGCTGCAAGTGTACTGGCAGACTGCAAGCGGGGGTCCGGTCGTAGGCTACAGAGACGTAGCATCCCGAATTATACATTTCTAGCAGAGCCGGAAGTGAAGAACGACAAGAAGAACATAGACCGGAAACAGTACCAGAACTCGGCCTTTCCAAGGGTTTTGCCAAGTTCCAATCATATTTCGCCATTGACTTCAGCTTCTTTCGTCTTTGAATCGGAAATGGACCCACACCGTTAGTAAATCAGCGACTTGTGGCAGCTTTTCCGGGTTTATGTTCCTCCTGCTATTCACTCAGCAGGCCTCTGCTGAGTTCATGTTTCGCCTAGAGCAAGCCCGGAGTCAAACTTGTCTTGTTCCCTCTTCCACTTTGAAGCGATCACGCATCGGGGTTCGCTTTCATTGCTCAAAATTTTGGTGCAGTTTGTGTGTGATGTTGTATCCGCGTTGAATAGAGGGACGTCCCTAAAAGAACGTTACGCACTTGGGTAAAGGGAAATCTGGTCCTTGTTACGCTGTGGTACGGGCGATGAGCTGGGGGTGCCAGGGACAACGTAATGTGACGCAAAACATGTCATTGAGGGTAAATTATGAAATAAACAAAAAAAACTGAGGTTACAAAATCACGTTTAGCTAAGAAATTTTGCGTAACGTTACGTTGTCCGTGCGGGTCGGAAAAAACTGCGTAACGTATTTGATGGACGGCCCCTGACTGCATTTTTTACACCGCAATTTCATCGGTAAGTTTACCTTGCAGTGGCACTCCGGTTTGAATGCATAAATTTTGCCTGCTGGCCGCTGGCCTCGAAATACCCTCTGACAGAGCCAAGCCGCTGAAGTGCCGAATTTCAGCAGTTTGTGAGGGCATAATCCGGGTCCAGAAGGCTTTATTTTGGCATCTAAAACGGAGGGGCACTAGATTGGCAAGGAAACCAACAGAATTGCGGTTCAACTGCCTGGCGTGTTTCTGTGCCGAAGTGGCCAAGGCCAAGAGGCGCGGGGAATACAGGGACAGCTGGGCGGGTATTCCCTGCGCTTCCTGACTCGTTCAGAGCATTCCCGATTAGGATCTTCTCAGAAACCTCCACTCCACTGTAAAGCAGTTGTTGTAAGCATTTGGAGGTTGGGGGGGGGGAATCGAATTTCAGTTTTTGCTCTTTTTTGACTCTTTGGGCCCACACCTGACCATATTTCGTCCCACAGCACAGCACCGTCAAATCGGCATAGGGATCTTTTAATTAGTACAATTACTGTGAGATTAGGTTAGGCCCTTTAACTTTAAAACCTGCTTTTCTCAGTCACTTTTTTTGGGCCTTGCCCTTGCGCACAGGATATCTCGGCGAACTTTGTGTGATCAGTGTCCCTTTATAGCTAAAAGACAGAGAAAAGTTGTTTTTCCAAAAAAAAATTCAACCTTTAGTTATAGGTCAAAGAATGTCCAAAAGCGGCATAAAACCAGTCATGATTCTAGTTTTCAAGATTAAAACCGCAAGAAAACATGTTTTTGAAATCCGGCTCCCTTGACTTCTTCATGTTGATCATAAAAAGAAGTGGCAACTTAGTCAGATTTTTGGGACACCATTTCTATTTGAAATCCTGCGCGCAAGGATTAAAATCCAAATGTCGGCCAAATCCAAAAAGTTTGCGTGAATTAAAAGAGTGCCATCAGACACGCAACGCAACGAAAGATGGTATAGGGGTAAAAAGGCATGGAGAATCTCATGGTGATGCCCATGTTAATGTCAGGGTGACTATGATAAAAACATGAAGACATTACAAATTTCACTTAACCCCCCACCCCAATGAAAATGGCGGGCAGCTTTCCCTGACCACAATGTGTCCTGAAGTGCACTCTAAATGTCTTACAATACAATTTGACCTATGTTATTCATATGTTACAGTGAATTCGGCGCAAGCATTAATACGAAGCAATATTCCTTCGTAATAAGGATCTTTTTAGCTTTTTCATTGTAAGATACAAAGAAAAACCCTCGTAATACGAAGAAAAACCACCTTCGTATTATGCTTGCGCCATTTCCTTCTTAATATGGGAAATTTCTTCGTAAGACATTTAGAGTGTGACGAAAATGGGCTGATTTTTTTTCCCTTTCATTTAGCTTGTATCGCATGAATCAAATTTTCTAGTCACACACGGTTCGGTGAATCGGTGAATTATCGGATCCTCCTCATAAATATCGGGTGAAGCCTTATGGAGGGATTCTCAATGCGTACGATGTTTTTTTTGTTTTTTTTTTTGGGGGGGGGGGAATTGTATTCTCGCGACCCGTATGAAAAAGAAAACACCCCGAGATTCTTCCGATTTTACCCGTCGGGGTCGTCCGAACTTTGGCTTTACATTGAGTCCCATCCAAATCTGTCCACTCCAAGGATGTGCACTTGATAGCGTGAGGTCTTTCCGTTGGCTTGCAGGAGTAGGAGCGGCGGTGGGCATCGACCTGGGCACCACGTTCTCCGTGGTGGCGGTGTGCCGCAAGGGCAAGGTGGAGGTGCTGGCCAACGACGATGGCAGCCGCATCACGCCCAGCGTGGTGGCCTTCTTCCAGGGCGAGAGCTACGTCGGCCAGGCCGCGGAGGAAGTGGAAGCTCCTGCGACCAACAGGGTGTTCGGTAAGGATTTAAGGGTCACGTCACCTTGCCGTCTTCTCATACACTGTACCAAAAAAAGTTGGCAACTCACAAAGATACCTTTGGGAAAATGCTGGCAAAGAGCCCTTCGGAAATATCCAGAGGACGTCCTTCGTGAATTTGCAATGAATCTTCGTAAATTACCGAACGTATTCGTGACCTATAAAGAATTGTCGTAAGCTCACAGAAGTCCCTGCGGCAATTTTTTCCCAAAGGTTCAAGCAAAGGTTCCTGTGGAAATTCCGAATATATATTTTTCCAGTGAAGTGTACCTTCTCTTCTGTCGCTCTGTGCAAACTCGCAGCACGTACTCGTTGGAACGCGCGTGACGGAAACCTAACTTTGGGGAAATTGTTCCCAGATTTTTTCAAACGAAAACGACCAGGTAAAACGAGTCGATTGAATCTTCTCTTTGTCAACCAGACGCCAAGCGGCTCATTGGTCGTCCGTGGAGTGACGAGCACATCCATAAGGACAAGAAGCTTTGGCCTTTCGATGTAATCGAGGTGAACGGCACCCCGAGGATCGAGGTGAACGTGAGCGCCAAGAAGAGGGAGACTTTCGCTCCCGAAGAGGTGAGCATGAAAGAAGTCGTCGAATTAAAACCAGCTTGTGTTCCAAGATTGATCCAAGATCCAATCTTGATTTTTTTTAGTCTCAGCGTTGCGGTTTGTTGCTCGGTTCGTTGACTTTCCTTCTTTCCGAGAACATTCCTTGGCTCTTTCTTCTGTCTTAATGACTCGGCTTAATTTTGTACCCAACATTTAAATTAGATTTTGTTTCCCCTCTGCAAAGGGCGTTTTTTTCTGTGTACAAGCCAAACTCTATGCAAGCTGCAAGGGCAATGGTTTTTGTAATGCGAACACGTTCTTCGCAAGGTTCTGAGAGTGCATCCAAAATTCTGCCTCTACTGATTCATGGTGATGGTCTGTTGCAGATCTCGGCCATGGTGCTGAAGAACCTCAAGAAGACCGCGGAGGACGCCCTGGGCCAGACGGTGACGAAGGCAGTCATCACCGTGCCGGCCTACTTCAACGAGCGCCAGCGCCAGGCCACCAAGGCAGCCGGTGAGCTGACACCAGAACGATTGACATGTTCCTCGCTGGTGAACCTTTTCGATAGGCCTCGTATCTGAAAGGATTTTGCTTCAATTCCTCCTCAAAGTACAAAGTAGCCGAAATCCTTCGCAAGTTGGAAGCAGTGCATGTGAAAATGAGGGAGGGGTTGCCTATTCCTTACTTTGGTAAACTCACGATTCCGGATTCCTACGATTGCCGAAAAAATACTTCAAGAAAGTGACAGCTGATGAGGAATTTTCTTTGCTTGTGAGTGTTTTCTGTCACTATCTCAGGGTAAAACGATGTCTGTCCATTGAAACTTCAATGACAAATCCTTGAAATTTTCGATAAAATTTTAAAACAATTCCGAAGGATAATGCAATGTTCACTGCACTGTGAACGGCTGTTCTACACACCAATGTGGACTTTTTGATGCCTAATCATGCATGCAAAATTATGTATATAAATTCATCATTATACATTAAGGAAAGTCCTCAAGAATTTAGTGCGTAATCTGCCTCCTTCGTCGTGCAGGCGCCATCGCCGGCCTGGAGGTGGTGGGCATGATCAACGAGCCCACGGCGGCCGCCATCGCGTACGGCCTGGACAACGGATCGTCCACCAAGAAGACGGTGTTCATCTACGACCTGGGCGGCGGCACGTTCGACGTGTCGGTCATGGTCATCCAGGGCAGCGAGTTCAGAGTCGTGGCGTCGGGCGGGGACACGCACCTCGGCGGCCAGGACTTCGACGCAAGGCTGCTGAACCACTGCCTGCAGGTTTGTCTAATGTCACGATAGACTTTGCTCGGTTATCATGTGCTGTGGTATTTCTTGACAAGTTGCACGCCACACTCGCAGCACGTTACTGACTTTTTGCTCAGTACTCATGGGAAGTAATTTTTGTAAATATAACCAGTTTTTCAAAAGATCAAGCTACTCATGAACTGTTCAATACAATGGTGAAACAAAGGCATTAAAACTGTGCGCCTGGAACGGCATAAATCGTTAATGCCTTTGAAAGGGCATCAAAACTTTGATTGAAAGTCCTATACCATTCACGCCTTTCCCAACCTTGGGCATTAAACGATTCAGGCCCTTAAAGGGCGTAAAAGGATGCTTATGCCCTCAAGGGCATAGTTTTTATTATGCCTTTGTTTCACCCTGTAGTATACTGACAATCTAGTAGAATTTAGTAGAAATTAGTAACAAAAAGTCAGTAACTGTCTGACGGTGTATATCGGTAAGAAGCGTGCGAGTAACGTAGGGTGCGAGACTTTTATCTTCAAGTTACATTCTTGTGTCAGGCTCTGTCGATCACTGTCTATGATTCTGGAGTGTTCTTTCAATTGAATCTTCAGGAAATGAAGCTACCTTGCAAATCCAAGTGTAGGACAGGTCGACACTTTAAGGCGTCGACCAGTTTGTCCTACGCTTGCAAGTGTCGACCTCAGCATGTCCGACGGCTGAAGTGTGGGGCCACAACAGGAAACTCAGCGTAATTTGTCGTAGGACAAACAGTGTCCTACACATGCAGGCGTCAGACACAAAGTGGTCGACACTTCAGAGCGTCGGACACAACTGGTCGACACTTGCAAGCGTAGGACAAACTGGTCTACGCCTTAATGTGTCGACCTGTCCTACACTTGGATTTGCAGTGTAATTATCCCGAACTTAAACTTCCAGGACATCAAGAAAAAGAGGGGTCTAGACCTACTGGCCACAAAAGACAAGCAGTCCATCCGAGAACTGCGCAGGGCGTGCGAGTTGGCCAAACGCAAACTGTCGTCGATAGCGGAGGTCACTCTCAACGCCCCTCTGACGCGCCACGACTGGCTTTACAACACCCGCATCACGCGGGCCCTTTTCCAGGACCTCTGTGCAGACTTGTTCACGAGAACCATCACCCTCACCGAGCAGGTTCTTACGGAATCAAAGGTAAAGTTGCCCAAAATAATTCCTTTACTTGGCCACAGTACTGGGTTTTTCTTTACCTATTGGATAGGAACAGTTGTAGGTTGTACGCAACCCTAATGCCCACAGTTTAAAACTCTTGCAAAGAATACTCTTTGCAATCTTTGCAAAACTAAAAAGAAAAAAAAGTTCTTTGCACTGCAAAGAAATTTTCTTTGTAATGCCAATAAATTTCCTCCTAAGGTTACGTTTAAAATTCTTCAAACAAAAATAGGTGGAAGCTACAAACAAATTTGCTTGCACCTTACAAACATATTCTAGGAACAAAGCAATCTGCAGCTTTGTTTAAATTTCTTGCCATCTCAGTATCAATTTATTCTTTGCTTCGGACCTTTCATAATTCGTCAACTAAATGATGGGGCGCAAATATATTGCTATCTGCCTAAGAATTTCAGGCGTTCCATGGCATCACCACTCTCGATCAACATATAGGGAGGGCACCTGTTAATGGGGAAGTTCTAGGCATACTTGAACAGAAATTTCGCTCTAAATTTGCCATCAACTTGTACGGATTACAAATGATCCTTATTTCGTAGCAGTCTGCGAGGAAATTTCCAAAAAATTAAGTTTCTGTGCAATTCAAAGACACTTTTTGCAACGTTTTTCGAGTGCACCCTCCTCATTCCTTCATCGCGATAATGAGATCCCAATCGAAACGCTATGAATATAGCACTTATCATGCAATGCACTGAGAATGCAATGGAAAAGCATTTCATCAATAATTGGTGTGATGGAGACGTCTTCAAACGCTCTGCACCAATTGACGCTACACTCACAATGTTTGAATTCTCTGTGAAATTCCTCTCGCAGCTGCAGCGCGGCGCCATCGACGAGGTGGTGCTGGTGGGCGGCTCGACGCGCATCCCCAAGGTGCGCGCCTTGCTGGCGGCCTTCTTCGGCGGCAAGGAGCTGCGCCACTCCGTCAACCCGGACGAGGCGGTGGCGAGCGGAGCGGCGGTGCGGGCCGCGGTCCTCATGGGCGACACGCAGGCCAACAGGCTTGTCAAGCTCAAGGACGTGACTCCCCTGTCGCTGGGCATCAACACTCTGGGAGGAGTGTTCAGCGTCCTAATCCCCAAGAACAGCCCCCTGCCTTTCAAGAAAACGCAGTCGTACAGTACAACCGTCGACTATCAGGAGCAGTGTGGCTCCAAGGTGAGTTTTCAATTGTTAAAGAAGTTCATTAGCTAAGGAACGAAATCAACTGCATATGTACTCTGCAAACTCAGTTGTGTGCCAAGCAAGTATTACTTGGAGCGCACTTCTTTGCTGCACGCCCCTCGCTGGTGAACGAAAAACTTGTGTTTACTGAGTATGTGATTTCCAAAACAATTTTCGATTGGTAAAATATGTCTTCTAGCAAGATTTGTGTAGAGAGTCTGAAAATTCGACGCCTCGTATCTTTTCTGAGCGAGGTGAAGCACCCTGTAGAGAAATGCCTCCTCAGTCCTTTGCATTAGCATAGGGCACTTTCGGGATGCATCGCACGTAATGTGCGATATGGCTATCGCATCGCACGTATGGTGCGATATCTCAGCTGCATCGCACCATACGTGCTATACTCATCGCGTTTGGAATATCAGTGTATTCATAGTCTCAGCCATTTTGGCCGAGCTTTAATAAGCGAGCCCCATAGTTCAAAGACATCTGGAGGGCAAGCCCTTCGGACTAAACTCTGTAGTCAGACCAAACTCTTTGGTCAGACTGAACTCCGTAGTCAGACTAAACTCTGTAGTCCAAACTTTTTAGTCCACAGCTACATTTACACCTAAGCCGGCTCAGTATGGAGGTCAAAGGCCTTCCCCTGGCTAGTATAATGCTTTGTGCCGCGACAAAGATCTTAATTGTTCTTGCTGCGCCACAACAGTCCCAATGGCTCTCATCCTTGCGACATTAGACACTCCAAGTTTCCCAAATTACTGAAATGAGCATAAAGGTCGTCATGGTAAAGGGGCGTGTTGCTGACATAAACTGCATGTAAAGGTCGACTCGTTTCCATTTTTCTCGCGCGTCAGAAATTGACTTAGATACTTCTCCTCAGACGCTCCGAGCTTTTTTTCGTATCGTGAAGAAAAAGCCCAGTAGGAATCTGTGAGTCCACCTTCGTTTGCTTCCAACAATCATACTTGCCCTTGTGTCTCGTAGGTGTTTCAAGGAGAACGCCCGCTCTCAAAGGACAACTACTGCCTCAACAAGGAGTTCTGGGTTGACGTCCCCAGCAAGCCGGCCGGCGAGGTTAGTGTTGACATCACCTTCGCGATCAACGTGGACGGCCTGCTGACGGTGACCTGCGTGGAGCCCACCACTGGGCGCTCCCAGAAGGTGCAGATTTCGCAGAAGGAGGCCCACCTGAGCGACGCGGACATCCGGGCCATGATCGAGAAAGCCAAGCGCTACCAGCGCGAGGACGACGACGCACTGCGGGAGGTCCAAGAGCGGTTGCGGGCGCAGAGGTTCTTCTGATCTGTTATCGGTGGGCTTACTTGCAATATTTATTTAAGAATTTGATTGTGAAACCCGGGGTTCCTCGGGTACATTATCTAGGGTCTGAAGCCCGTTAATGTAGCTGCTTGTGACAAAGGTTTTTGTTTGAATCACAGTTAAATCAACGTTTGAAATAAAAGGCATTTTCCTGTCAACCATGGTATTTGTGCCCTCCCTCCTTTCTTTCCTTTATTCTTTTTTTCTTCGCCTGGGTATTAATAACTGATAATTGCACACCCCATTTCCGCCGCGGCCTCTAACTGTAGAGTGGCAAGTAAATACCAAGAGCCTTAATAATAGACCCCAAAGTTGGTGGTGCGAAGATACATATTCACACTCTTTCCGAAAAATGTTAAACAAAAAAAACGGGGTAAAATTGTATTTTCTTTCTGCGTACAGGGCAATTTTGGCCATCGAATCAGAAAAGTTTTTGATCACATTGCACAGTGTTTTTTTCCTTGCGTACCAGTCCTTCTCGACGCGGTATTCCCCGTGCAGCTGCCTTGTCGGCTGCACTCTCATTTCCAATACCGATCAACGGGCACAAAGCAGCAGGGTATTCCCCATTCCATACAAACAACTGGTAAGACGCCTGTTTCTCACGAAATGTACTATGTCCAGTTATAAATCTTACAAAGAAAACGAACAACATTTCTTTACGATGCGAAGAGATTTGCAAACATATTCTGGAGCCATTTTCCTCCGTAAGTCTAATTGTAGTGCTTTTTACATCATTTTTTGATCAAATTTTAACGAAGTTCCTACTGTTACAGAGTCCTTTCTGTTCATCGCAGGAAAAAACACATATTATCAATGAAAAGAGGGTTCTTCAAGGATGACTTTGAAAACAAAGTGGTTGACCTACTGTCATTTTCGTGGGGTGTGCGAGGGGCACAAGACAATACAACATATTTGCCCAATAATGACAAAATATAACTGCGCGCAGAGCTACTCGGTCCCCGCTAGCAGTTTTCCATCCAAAATTTGTCCACTTGTTTTACATACTCAAGCAGTAAAAATGACCCTCTACCTTTGAGAAATAACATCGGGAAGAATTTTATATCAAAACCTTTAAGAAACGTTAAAAAACATGTTAAATTTTTCATTGTAAAGTTTTGTCAAAAACCGTCAGATTGCTCCAATCCCGAACCCCAAGGGTCATTTTGTGGGACCTCACCGCCAAATTTTCAGGGCGATATCTCAGACTGTTCTCTCAAAATCTTGCGCGCAAGCTCTGAAAATCTAAAATTGAGAAAAACGGCCTAAAAGATTGAACTTGTCTAACCTAACCTGTAAATAAATTTACATGAATGACTCTGGAGGATAAACGTTAGCGAATTTCCGCAAAAGCTTGTCATATTCTTGAAGAGGATTGTCAAAATATAAAACCTAGACCAAAAGCAAAATATCGACTTTATTAAAAAATAATGGCGCTACTGCCCCTTAGGTAAATTTAGTAGGCTACGCATAATGTTTGCGCCAATTTCCTCTGCCAATTCCACTTAGAAAATTTTGAGTGCAGACCCCCTTAAAATTGCCTCAGTTTGAAAATGTTGTTCGCGACGATTACACGCACTCAATATCGTGCGAAAAGTTCAGAGTTACCAACTTCAGTGTGAAGTGACTGGAAAAGTACGTCGAGGGCGTGCTTGAGTACCTCCCTGGGGGTGGGGCGGGACGTAGGTATTCTTAAGTCGATAACGGTTTTTAGGGGTTCCGACGAAGGAGGACCCCTATTGCCCGGGACGGATAAATTCTTTTCTTCCGCCGACGCCAATCTAAAAATGGTTTCCGCCAAATTATTCCTTATCGTAAAAAAAATAAAAATTCCTGAAAATTTCGAAAATTTATCGTAAGAATTTAACGTAAACGACAAAAACATAAATTTGCAACAATGAAGCACCCTTATCCCTTCACATTTTCCAGAAACGTTTCAAAGACAAAATGTGCTACTCCCCAAAACTAAGCATCCTGACTCATCAAAGTGACAAAAAATCGTCTGTGTTCTAAGAAAATGGTTAAAACATGAAAAAAAGTCTCCATGGCAACGACACAGTGCCATCGTACCAACTGTCAAAATTTAAAGTCGCTGATAAAAAGAAATCGAAACGCCGTGAAATTCGAAAATGCCAATGCTAACGCATTGCACCGTGTCGCGACATTGGAACATCTTTGAAGTCTGTCAGTAAAAAGTTCGTAGCAGAAAAGACGCAATAAATTAATTTTCGGGGGTTGGCAACAATTTTGTCGGCGTCTGCGCCCTTTCGAAAATCGCGGGGCTGAAAAAACGAGTAGTCGCGCATTGAAACTGCCCCTCCATTGTTGCTGAGGTTGGATTGTTTGGCTTGCTTTTAAAGGTTGCGGTTCTCTTGTGATGTTTTCCTCAATTCTGTAATCAGCACGACGGTTGGTTTGACAAACTATATAAACTCGGGAGGGGTGGTTTCGGATCGCAGATGACTTTCGTTTGGCGAACATGAGCACTGTAAGTCGCGAGATCGCGAGATGGACTGAGATGGTCATTGTGTTAACTGAATCAGGTTTGGGATGTAAAAATAACGGTAGGATTCAAAGTTACGTAAACAACGGTAAAATTAACGTAATTAACGTTTAGACGACAGACTCCAAATTGATTTCCACAACCGGAACACCGTGCAATGCGTTAGCATTGGAATTTTTTTCATCCGGAAACGCCCGGATTCGTGGTACAAACTCCGCGAAGAATCGCTTCCTAATACAAAGAAGGCGATTGTAAAATATACAAAGAAACGACTCTTATGGAGCAAAACTCTTCGTTACGCAAAGCATTTCACTTTATTATTTTACAATGATTTCATTTTCTTCGCAGATACGAAGCAAGCGCTTCTTGACCTTTTATGAGTTTGTACCGCTCCCACGTTCATCCGAAAATGGATTTGCTTATGTAACGCTCGCGCTGTGTTACGCGAGAGATGGGTCCCGATCCTGCGTAACATTGAATCAATCGGGTGAACGAGCAAGGGGGCAAAAGTGGTCCATAACACCGTCAGGTAAAGAACCGACGGCCCCGCGACTCGATCGCGCCTTGTCAGCACTGCTGTCGGCAGTCGGCAAGCCGCCCCGCCAGTACAGCCAGCACCAGCACCGCCCGAAGAACGTAGGGGACTCGGACTCGGCGGCGCGCTCGGCTCGGGTTCGCATTGCAACGCAAGCAACGAAGCCGGCGGCCGGCATCGGCAGTCCGTTCAGAGGAGTAGCAGTAGCTTGGCTGCGTACACCGCACACTGCGGCGCGCTATTTTCCTTCCGATAAGTCCCGCGATTCGGGACCTCGACGTGAAGCGGCAGCAGCAAGGACCAAGCGAGAGCACCCGTCGTCCCGGTACGTCGATGTTCAGTCATCCAACGCGGTACGCGTGACGTCACACGCCTCCGTCCGATTGAACGGCCGAACTTCGGAAGTGAACTTCGTGGTTTCCGAATCGTCGCGCTCGGCAAGTGTGCTGTGCGGCCGGCCGCTGATTGCGACTGGGACACTGTGGGATTCATCGCGGCGTAGCGTCGCGACCGGCGCGACGGGGAATACTCTGCCGCTCGTCGAGTGGGCGGGCTGGTGCGGCAAGTGCGGCGGCGGTGTCATTCTCTCGTTGACTTTGCACGTCGGCGGTCCCTGTGCCGTTGCGTGCCTTCGCTGATCCGCTCCGTAGCATCGCACCGGAGGTGAGCGCCTCTTTCTCCATTGACTGTACGTACACTCAGAGAGTTTTGGTTGTCACTGTATGAAAATTTCAAGGCCGAACGACCGATTTCTAATAGACGGCCTTGGGTGAAGAAAGTTTTGGTTGTCACTGAATGAAAATTTCAAGGCGAAACGATTTCTGTAGAACGCCCTTAGGTCAAGAAAGGTTCGGTTGTCGCTGGATGAAAATTTCAAGGCGAATCTACTTATTTAGAACGGTCTTTCGTGAATATTATGAATAAGAATCTTCACCGGAAACAGTAGCAGAGATCGGCTTTTCGGGGTCTTTAATGTTTTCACTTGTTCAAATAATGGAATGAAGCGGTGTCAGGTATTTGGGTTCAAGAGAAACACACATTACCTTTGAATTAGCGTTACGTACGATTTGTTTCCGGTTTGTGTGATTCCTCATCTCCCTTGCTGGTTCAGCTGTAATTCATCAAGGATGTCGCAATAACATTTCTCGCTGATATAATGTTTTCACTCTGTAAGTCCTGGTTTTCTTATGCATTTGGTGGAGAAACCAGGATGGCCCTGGGAAAATCAGGACAGAGTCCTACCGAGCACACCCGCTTTTATTTGTTTTAAAATAACTTCAATGGCAATGCTCTGAGTAAAAATGTCATCAATATGATTTCTGACAAAATTTGCACTAGTGCATATGCCGGTCCCGAAAACGAACGACACTGATAGATTTCCGGACGGTGGTTTCTTAGGTTTGCGACTTCAACGCGTTGGGACTAAAAGAAAACGATCCTGCTGTAAGTGTAACTACTTATCGCGCATGGATCGTTTCTGCGTATTCACAAAACGGTCATTCGGGCGGCTGACTAGCCTGCGATTGCCTGAAATTGTTTCAGATTCCGAACCGTGTCGCGAAATTTGAATTATACCTTTAGATAGATAACACCCATCTATACCCCTTGCTTCACGTCGCTTTTATCAGCCGAAGACAGCAGCGGGGAATACGTGCGTGTGGAAAGGTGTTCTTGGCGCTCTCGGGTTCACGTTTACTGATCGCAATAGACTGAGCCTCTGTTGCACTGTGAGAAAAAAGTACGGAACATGTCTGGTCAATAATTTGCCTGGACTGTCCGTACTTGCCAAATACGGAACGTTCCGTCCTTTTTTTTCCGTACCCATTTACATGGGTTCATATGGAGCAAGTACGGAACGTTCCGTACTTTTCTCCGTACCTCCGCACTATATTTTTCTGTACCATTTCCGTACAAAAGTACGGAATTTTTTTACAGTGTGTACGGAGGATGGGGAAGGCACGTACGTACAGGAAACAGTGGCAATAATTGATAGATTGATCTGCGGAGAGGATCCAGGCTCGAACCACTAAATATTAAACTAGGCTTTCCCAATGGTTTCAGTGCGATATGGGATTCCCTTTTATTGCAGGCTGAAGCATTTCTAAGGATAATTATCTGAAATTAATGTAGCGCTTAAAGAATGCTGTGTAGCCTCTGGACTGTAATAATTATCAGGGATTTTATATTCAGGAACTGTTTCCGGTTTTGGGCTTTACACTGTTAAAAATAGTCGTAAATTTACGACATTTTGTATAACAATTATGTCGTTTTAAAACGACATATTTTGTTACGACTCAAGGCGTAAATATACGACTTGAGTCGTAAATTTACGAGATATTTGTCGCTAATTTTAATAGCGAGACGTTCCGTTTTGAAACGAATTACCGTCGTAAATTTACAACTTAATCGTTAGTTTACGAACGATCGTAATTTATCTATTGAGTATGTCGTGCAGTTATGACTTCAGTCGTACATTTACAAATCTTGTCGTAAATTTGTGTAAAGAATCGTAAATGAACGACACAAATCGTAAATAAGCGAGCAAAATTGCAACTTTTCATCAACTTTTTGGGGATTTCAGATTTCAAAATATGTAATCGCGATTACGACAATGTCGTAAAGAAATGATTATTTTGTCGATCAGTTACGACCAAGTAGTTTCAGAACGATTCTTGTCGCTATCAAAATCTTCGTTCACTCTCATTTCAGGAACGTGACATCACGTTGAAACCGTTGAAACGAACGTGACAAAATGTCACGTCCGTTTGAGCATTGTGTCCCTTATTGTTTGGCTGTGAATTGGCGAACCAAAAATTAGCTTGTTCTCATTCAAACGAATGTGACACAATGTTGCAACGAATGTGACCCACTGTAAAATTCGGTTTACAAATTGTGGGATTGTGCTAGTATGGTTGAGATATCTGGCGTATTTGCCCACTTACATGTGCTGCTTTTGCCACCTGAATGTGGACGGAATGTGTCCAAACTTTGTACAATGAACGTGGGGAGTTGCTCCTCCCGTGGACTTCCTTTGTCGCTCCTTGAGGGCGCATTTTCTTCATTTTCTGTTACTTTTTCCAGGACATGGCTCGGCAGGGATCCGCACCAGAGGTGGTGCTGGGCATCGACCTCGGCACCACCAAGTCCGTGATGGCCGCGTTCCTGGAGGACGACGTGGAGGTCCTGCAGAACGACATCGGCAGCCGCAGCACCCCGAGCTGCGTCCACGCGTCCATGGACGCCGGGGACGCCGTGAGGGACGTCGGGGAGGCCGCGCTGCGCCTGGCGGTCAGCCACCCGCACAGCACCGTGCGCAGTGAGTAGCGCAGACGCCGGCGGCTTGAAGTCGGTGGGGCACTGAAACCAAGTCTACGCTGCTAACCTAACTGTCTACTAGTACACACTTACAAATGCATGCTTGCAAGTACAAACTCACAAACTCATGCTTGGCCAAGTACACACTTACAAATGCATGCTTGCAAGTACACACTTACAAACGCATGCTTGGCGCCGTATACGTAACTCCATGCGTCAAGCATGCGTTTGTAAGTGTGTACTTGCAAGCATGCGTTTGTAAGTGTGTACTTAGTAGACAGTTAGGTTTGCAGTGTGGTGTAGGATAAATCGCCTCACTTGGACGTGTAGACTTTGCACTCTCCACACTTTATTAAGTTTATAAACGCTAAAAACTCGCTTACAATCGAGCAGCTCCCAGAGCCCCATGGTGCAAAGGTGGAGAAGCCCGCATTTGAAGTGTGAAGACTGCACTCTGCACTTCCAAGTGCTGAGACTGCGAATCCCTCACCTCACTCCTCGTGGAGTTCTTCACAGTTTGTCTGACAGTGAGGACTTTATACTAACGTAGCACTCCGTTCAGCCTTTGAGTGTACCATCACCCTTTCATTGTCCTTTCATTGGGACGCAATACCTGATACCTGTTTTGTCAATATGCTGATCCAAGCACGGAGAAATTACTTGCATAACAGTCGGGTCACCAATTTCTTGTTAAAGCATGACGTTTTCTTAATATACCGTTAATGTGGTCGAAGTAGGGGTGTAAGTTTGTCGAGGGCCGCTGAAAACATTTGGGTCACTGACGGCTCGTTACCGACTTAAATACAAACAAACATTAGCAAATTAGTTACTTTGAATCCATGTACGGTAAGATTTGCGATGATGCCCTCCTAAGGTTGGTGATAAGCACCTCTAAGGATTTTCGATGAACGTGACCTCTTGCTAAATTTTGCAGTAAGAAAGGACATTGCATGTACGTGACGTACATGATTGCAAAATATTGCATTCAAATTCGTGATGTGGGTTTTAGCAACGACCGTGTTTCGTGAGGAAGTGCCTCTTGGTTGACCGCACTCTCTATTTCCAGACGTGAAGAGCGTCCTAGGACGGGCCCACCAGGACGTCGGCTCTGACCATCACCTGGGCCCCATCAAGCTGGGCCAGTCCAACTTGGGCCATGGCGTGTCTATCTACCTGGAGGGAGGCGTCGTGATGGCTGCGGAGGAGGTCGGTACCTTTGCCGAAGACTTTGCTCACTCGGCCTGCACACTAAATGTTTGTGCACAATTTTGTACGCGGTGATGCATAATTTATTTTGTGTACTTTCGAGCATAAAATTGTGCGTGAATTTGCATAAATTTATGAATCTTAACGCATGATATTATGCAAATTTCACGTATGCACAAAATCGTGCAAGTTGCACGTACAAAATTCTACCTTCACTGGTAAAACTAAAGCGTAACTCTATGATTAAGTCAAGCACAGAATTACGCTTGAAGACGTTACGCTTGAAATGAAGCATACTCAGGAAATTTCCCCATGCATTTAGATAGGGGGAATCTTGGCGGACGAGCCTGTAACTCTTGATTTCAAGCGTAAACTGATTACGCTTGAAAACAGAGGGTAGTACTACGCTTTAGTTTTACCAGTGTTATCATTTTGTGTGTGCTCACGCATTGTGGTGTTTCGGATGAGCAATGTTGTCTTTTTTCCTGTGTGCAGGTGACCAGCATGCTGCTGGTGCACTTGAAGAAGGCCGCGGAGGAGCAGCTGGGCCGCGGCGACATCAACTTTGCCGTGATCGCAGTCCCCGCCTACTTCAACGCGGCTCAGCGGAATGCGGTTCGAGACGCCGGTGCGTTGGATCCGTTTTCGTCCTCCGTCCTCTGTCCCACTCCCCCAGCCACCGCACTTACTCCGAGGGCTTATTCGTTACCGTACACACCAAATTACTCTGAAGTTGTTTGTGCATAAGCCACTTTCTAAATGTTATGTTCAATCTTGTACGAGACATCCCAGTTTTCTGTGCACACGTCATTTCTGCATAATTTTCGTACGAAAAAATGCTTATTTTTCGCCTTTTTTGTACAAAATTGTGCGAAATTTTGTACAAAGTTGTACGAAAAGTTCGTGTGCACTTTAAACTGTGATGTCTTGTAGTAAATTTGTACAAAAATATTTAGTGTGTATGCACAGTTGTGCACATAGCTTCTGCGCGATGAAAATGCTTCATAGTAATTTAGTGTGTGCCCTGTGCGCTCAAATCGGTTATTACGCTTAAAGGTACGCATGGTTTCGTCGCATTTCGCATGTTTTCTTCGTAAGTAGTCTGCTATCTTCGTATTACGCATGATTCAGCAAGGTGCGATGAAGTTTGGCGCCATTTGGCGCATTACGCATGTATTCATGCGTTTGTTAGGCATTTCCTGTTATCATTGGATTCAGAGGGTGTGGAACACGATGTTTAAAGGAAAGTAACATTGTGTACGTTCCTGGAATGACAGTGTTGTGATTACCGTCAACGGGGGTAACTTGGGACACTTTTTCACGTGTTTTGATCGCCAGAAGCAAGATTCTGAACCCAGACCAATGGATCCTAACTAAGTTAAAGTTTGACCCTTTCCCCATGATTTCATGCTTGTCTGGTTAATGTGCCTCGATTATATCGTTTCCCACACTGTCCTTCGAAGTATGGTACAGCCTACAGATAATGTGTGGTAGGCGCTCAACTGTGGTTACCCAAACTTACCACACGTGGAAATGCAGTCAATACCCCTAAAAATCAGTGGTCAACAAAGCACCACATGAAATTCATGGCGAATACCACAGCAAATATGTGGTCCGTCCTCCATACCTCATAAAAGGGTGGTCTTGACCACGCAATACATGAGGTAACGGCTAAATTATAGGCTTGTACACCACTTATTTGACGTGGTGTTCTTCTTACCACATTGGGACAGTAGGTAATTAGCTACATTCCCATGTAACTATTGATGTTAATGGATGTAATAAATTTAAGTCACAACATGTAGACCAAGAATTCAGGAACTTTAGAAAATTCAGGAAATTTAGGAACTCTTGTAGGACCGATATTGGACTATATCTAGGGCTCTACGTGGAACTCTCTTTTCTACTGGTATTTTCCAGGCATTTTCTGAAAATTTCAAAATATGGATTTCCAGAAGACAAAACTGCAGAGCAAGGCATCTCTTCACATCATGAGCGTAACATCCGAAGTTTAAGTTATGTCAGGGACCGGGTCAGTCAACTTCTAGAAGGCTAGGACTGCTGGAAACATGAGGAAAAGACTGTCCCAGGTTACACCGTATAAAATTTCGATTTTTGATAAATTGAAGTCTGGACCGAAGATGGGAAAACTATAATCAATGCCCTTTTGCGAACCTTATTGTCTGTATGATCTAACAACCCAGAGAGACTAATCGGCCAAATCTGCATTTCACTCCTTGCACTAGTGTCAACTTGTCAATGATTGACATTTTGTCAAAAACCCAATTATATAGTTTCCCGTTTCTCAAATACTAATTGTGATTTTATGCACCTCTTCCACCTTTCCGCGCGTGCCCTGAGGCCTCTGAAACAAAACCCTGCTGCGGGTTTGACGCTAGGAACCCCCGTCGCTGAGTGGCAGCACCAACAAGCTGTACAGGGTAGACTGTCCCAAGTTACCCCCGTTGACGGTACTGACCTGCCCCCCTCTACCGCTGTCTGCCACAGCGTACCTCGCTGGGTTGCGGGTGCTGCACTTGGTGAACGACACGTCCGCCGCCGCCCTGGTGTACGCGCGAGAGCGCGACCAGCCCAAGACCGTCCTGGTCGTGGACGTCGGCGGGGGCGGCAGCAGCGTGGCCGTGGTGCGGACCGAGTTCAGCGCCGTGCGAGTGCTGGCCGCGTCGGACAGGCGCCTGCCGGGAGGGGAGGACTTCGACGCCCGCATGGTGGAGCACTTCAAGGAGGTAAGCGCTCCAAACTTTGTGAAGTACAGGACTTCGATCATATGCACGTGCTCTAACAACTTCGTGTCTCGTAAAAGCAAATCAATCAGTATGTGCGTACTTGTTCTACTTGCTCCACGAAGGATTAGTCGCGAAATTACGTCGGTTTTTCTCAGCAAGCTTCATGTATGCTTAACAGTTGTAAGGTTTCGTCAGCACTGAAAACCTAAACGTGGTTTCGTCTGTTTTGGCCAAGATTGTGCAATAGTCATTTGTTACATTCAAAATTTCTTTTAGTAAATTTGGCGGTTGTGTAGGAAGAAACGTGTGCATACTCAATGTGAAATAAGTTCGTTCAAACGACGAATCTTTTTTGGCTTTTCTTTGTTAGGTACACAGAAAAAGCTTCTCATTACGAAGGAAGAACCCAGGGGTGAATCACAGGTGTACTCAAGTGTATAAGTCAGCCTGTACTCAGTGTACTCACAAGTTTAGATTTGGCAAAATTGTCTAGTTTGGAGTAAGGTTTGGTGTTGCGTATTGTCTGAAACACCAAATAAAGCCTTTAAACGTCTAAAAATGTGAAATTTATGAGCTCTCTAAGCTGTACTCACCCTTGTGTACACCAGAACGCCGAGTGATTCACCCCTTGGGAATAACGGATCCATAATCATAATACAATTGCACTAAATTCTTCGAGCTGTTCAAAAATGGTCTTCGTTTTCTTCGTTAGTATTGGTTCAATTTTCTTACCCCATCACGTTGCGGGCCCGCAGGTCATCAAGCAGGCCCACGGCCTGGAGGTGACGTCCGCCCGATCCCTGGAGATCCTCCGCGGCCAGTGGGAGAAGGCCAAGCAGAAGCTGTCGCGCATCCCCAGCACCAAGATGGCCACCTTCCTGCCCGACGGCGACCTCGACTTCCAGGCGGACGTGTCCAGGGCCGCGTTCGAGGAGCTGTGCCGCCCGCTCTTTGAGGCCATCGTCGACGAGGTGAAGCGCACCCTGCTCAAGGCCGAGGTAAGCCCCCAACCTTTCGGAGTATTTTGAGTAGTCATGGAACAAACCAATTAACTTTGTTATGCGAGTAGATAGTTCGCAAATAACGGAGTATTTTCTATGGGAGCTTCTGTATGCTCAAAATACTTTGTCGTAACAAGCTGCGTTTCGTGGAAGGGTTGAAATAGTTTGTAAGGTTTGCAACTGCAAATTGGCTGGAAAAAGTCTCGCCAAAGTTTTGGTCAGACAAAAAAGTCTTACCATAAAATGGTCTCACAAAAGTGTCGCCATTTTGTGATCAGACTTTTATGTCTGACCATTTTGTGGTAAGACTTTTTTGTCTGATAAAAACTTGGCGAGATTTATGTCTCGCCTCTGGAGTGGCGAGAAGTCGGACCTTTGGATTGTAGTGCAGATCACAGTCATTAACTTCCAAGAACAATATTCCTCTGTCCGAATATATTCTGCAAGTAAGATGAGCGAAAATTTGGTCCAAAAATAAGTGTCGTGAGACAAGTCCCATCCTCTTGCATCTATTTTTAGATGACATTCCCCACCTGTTCTCCCACCTGCAAGGTTTAGACCTTGCAAAAGTGCACGGATTCAACTTGACTTATACCGTTCTTCCGCTTCCTTGATCAATTTATTCCCACCAAATCAGCTTATTATCTACAGTCTCTTTGATGAAACTGCAAAATTATCTTCTTCGTAAAATCAGTGGCCATTGGGCGTAAGGACGTAAGTCACATGAGAAACCCATTGAAATTAGGTTGTTCTGTCCGATGACCACTCAAATGTGCATGATGTGAGGACAATTGTTTTGGAGACAAGTACCTTCTCCCCAGCCTGTCTCGATGTAAAGGCGAGTGGTTTGTCCATAAATCTTGGGAAAATTTTTACGATGAGCCAGTGGTTTTTTTGACATGGGATTTTTGTTTGCTCCCAGGTGGCGGTGAACCAGGTGGACGACGTGGTGCTGGTGGGCGGCTCGTCCCGCATCCCCGCCCTGCGCGCCATGGTGCAGTCCGAGCTGGCCCAGCGGCCGCTGTGCAAGGCCGTGAGCGCGGACGAGGCGGTGGCCAAGGGCGCCGCGCTGCTGGCCGCGCAGTGCGTCCGCCTGGAGGAGGTGACGCCGCTCGTCCTCAAGGTCACCGCGGCCGGCAACGAGGTCGTCGTGCCCGCCAACACCGCCCTGCCGTTGACACTCGCCATGCCGGGCAACTCCACCGTCGTGGTAAGCTTCAGCTACCGTTTTCAAGCTTCAAACGGTAAGTCTCGGTCCTGGATCTTCCAGGACCGTCCTGGTTGCCCTGGAATATCCAGGACCGAGTCTTACCGTGTATGTAACGACTTAGAGAATATGGAAACACCGCTTTCTTTGCTGTAAATTTCGTGGCTTGAACGGGTTTGAATTCACCATTTAGTCGTCCCCCTTCTTTTCGCATGCGCAGCGTATGCCCACGAAGTTGACAAATTTTTTGTCTAACCTGCCTATGTTCGTGCTGTAGTGCACGCAGGACCTAAGTCTTCGTGTTCACACACAACTGTTGGGAAGAGGCATGTCCCAGAATGGTTTAGATCGATGTACGTAAAACGCTCTCGGGATTAATATTAAAATCTCTAATGGATGCATGCATTTTATTGGAAAATAATCCACGTGGGAGAAGGGAGCCTCTCGATGTGGCCCCTTTGACGGATCTTAATGGAAAATAGAAATAACCGAAATCTCCCTTGACAACTTTGCCAAAACAACATGTCTTGATCCATCTTGTTTTTTTTTAGAAGTTCTTAAGAACAGTAGCGGTGACGTCACACTTGCCTGCTTGTTGAGTTTATATGTTGATTAAAACTCTCACCTCTGTCTGGACAGGTGGAGCAAGGCTGTCTCGATCAGCCGAGCCTCGTGGTCATCCACGAGAAGAAGAGCGTCCAGGCAGTCAAGTTCAGCATCGACCCTTGCGGCTTTTTCCGCTTCCTCGACAGCCAGGGCGCGTCCATGAAGCTGTTGCCTCGCGGCTGTATTGGCGGTCCAGCGCTGACCCAGATCCGGGACAAGGTGCAGAGTCGGATCCAGGACGAGGAGGAGGACCGGCGGAGGATCGAGTTGAAGAACGAGCTGGAGGAGAGGTGCCGGGCCTACCTGAGCCAGGAGGAAGAGGTGCGTGTACACTCTATAAGTCTTACAGTGAAGATTCTCCTCACACCAAGCTCTTCAGGACCTTCTTATTGCACAATATGCATGCACAGATACGTACGTAAGGTGTTTATATTATTTTGTCTCATTGTGTACTTTTTATGCATCTTCCTGCAAAATGTCCCTTGGTATCTGTGCATGCATCGTTATGCCTATCAAAAGTCTGCAAGAATTTTGCGGGCCTACGGTGAAAGTTCTTCCTTGTGATGGTGCGGCTGACTTTGTACCGTTGGAAATCCATTGTACAATTTCGTCGAGTTAGTGCAGCCTTGCACTATGAGGCGTTTAGAGTGTAGGATTTCGCTTCCCCTTTCTTTTACGTCCAAGAGGGAACATTCATTCCGTCGCGGCTCCGTTACACTGTGAAAATTTGTCGTCACTTTCTGACAAAAAACGTGGAGTATATTTTTATCACTTCCAAATGATGATAATCTCATCACAAATTGATGACATTTTCATCAAAGCTCCTATACTTATTGCATGGACATGACAACAATGTCATTAATTTATTTGATGACATTCAAGGAAACTTAGCTCTCAAATTTTCTCAGTGTAGTTTGGTCACTGAAAATTGAATGGCCAGACTGATGGCCAAAATTTGGTGAGACAAAAAAGTCCCGCCATTCTGCGGCGAGAAACAAAAGTCTCACCATATTTTTGGCGAGAAACAAAAGTCACATTATTTTTTGGCGAGAAACAAATGTCTCGTCAAAAATAATTGATTGGGATATATATCCTTGTATCCAATAGAGTGGGTTTGCAATTTTTGCCATATTTTGGCGAGACATTTGTTTCTCGCCAAAAAAAAGGTGAGACTTTTGTTTCTCGCCACAGAATGGCGAGACTTTGTTTCTTTCCCCAAGGATGGAATGAATTCCGTCCTTTGACCTCTCAGTGGCAACATGTCCTTCCATCGATCCACATTGTTCCCTCTATTTCGCAGGCAGCGCAGGGCGACCCGGACGAAGCCCTGGTCAGGGACTTGCGGCGCGACTGCGAAACTCATCTGCAGTGGCTGGAGGCGAACCCCACCGCCGCGAAGGAGGAACTGGATACCCGGCACGCTTCACTCACAGGCTGCTGGCTGAATCTGGACGAGAGTCGAGAGCAGAGGAGAGCTGCCAACGCCAGAGAAGCCGAGAGGCAGAGAGTCGAGAGCGAGACATTCAAGATGCGCAAGAATCTGGAGGAAAAGTGCCTGTCGTACCTGCAGGAACCAGAGGTACGCCCTACTTCAAAACGAAAGGGTTTCTTTCTGCTCTTAGAACATTTCTATCGGTGTAAAACATAAGGTCCCTCTCTAAAAGTATTTCGTAATTTTTTTCGCAAACTGTTCGTTGTATTGGTAGATTATGATCATTGTTCCTTTTCGACATGTAACCTCACCGAACGCGATTGAAGAATCTAACATTATTAAATGCGACCCCGTCAGTTAACGATTTCAATCAAAGTTAAGTGATCAAAATTTCGCTGACGAATTATTTTCTCAAATCGTGAACGAGTGTGACGCATGTTCATATTTCTGATAGTTCGGTCACATTCCTACGTCTCACATGATCTAACCGCACTCATTTACTCAGGATGCTCTCTGAGTTTGACTTTTGCGGAAAACCGCATTCGTCTTGCTGTTGTTCACCTGAATTCCCCCGCGTCAAAACTGGAGCACGCTTTGAACCTTTACGAAGTATTTTTGGCATTCATAATTAAAACTTTCTTTCTTTCTTATACGACGAAATACTGTAGTTCGTAAATTACGATCCAGTTTCGTTGTAAGCGTACGTGGGCTCAAACTACTTTGATATTGGAAGCTATTTCACTTCGTAAGGCTTAAATGGTTTCTAAGATTTTCAGCGTGAACTCGTGATTAGATTGATCTTGAACGTGTTCCCTCTTGTTTCGGCAGGCAGCATATGGCGACCCCGACGCGGATCTGGTCCGGAATTTACGACGCGAGTGTGGACGGCACCTGCAGCTGCTGGACGCAGACCATGACTTCTCGCTTGATGAGCTGGAGCTCAAGCATGCGTCGGTCTCGAGCCTTTGGTCTGAGCTGAAGGAGAGCCGAGAGCGGAGGGAAGCCCAGCGCGAGGAGGCCGAGAGGTTGCAGAGGGAGCGTGAAAGAGAAGCGTTGAGAAGGCAGAGGGAAGATGAAATAAGAAGGCAAAGAGAAGCCGAGAGAATGCAGAGGGACGATGAAATAAGAAGGCAAAGAGAAGCCGAGAGAATGCAGAGGGAAGATGAAATCAGAAGGCAAAGAGAAGCCGAAAGAGGGCAGAAGGAAGCGGAGAGAAGGCAACGGGAAGATGAAAAGCAATGGGCGGCTATCAAGCGAAGTGAAGAGCTAAGAAACCAGAAGGAGGGTGACATGAAGAAAGAAGCAGATAGAAGGCCGAGACAAGCCCAGACGTACAGCCAGGTGGCCCAGAAGAGACCTGCCGCCGGGAGGAGCGATCAAGGTAGAGCCCCCCAGCCAGCCGTGCATCGTCGTCCCTTCTCTGGATGCGGTAACATCCGCAACCGCGAGTCGGAAAACTGGTGGGACCAATCGGACAACCCACGGGCGTGTTATTACCAGGTGGAAGACCCTAGTGCGCAGTCAAAACCAAGGAGTTTCGTGAAACGAGCCTGGGATTGGGTCGTGGGCAAAAAGAAATGAATTTATTCCTACCTTGTTGCTCCTTTCGAGCGTTCATGGACATGAAAGTGTCGGCCTCGTTTCCTCTGTTATATTTTTCTTAAACTTATTGGATACACGTTGTGAAGCCCACGGCCCGTCGCAATTTTAGTGAAGGGGGCTATGAGGTTAAATTTAGGTGGGACAGTTATTGCCTCCTTTCATTCTACATCTAGAACAGTGTCCAGATCGCAACTTCATCTGATTCAAATTGCCTTTGTATTTATAAGTGTCCCTAGTGTTTTTGAGTTGTACGCTAGTGTGCTCTTTGTATGATTTCGTTCTGTTCTTACAATACACTGCCGGTCGCTCAGTTTCAAGTTCTTTTCATTCGCTCCCCATGCAGTGTCGTCTAAGCCGCGTTCGTGTCGCCGCAGGTGCTGGAGACGAGGCGGGGCCGCGCGACCCGCGAGTCGCTCTGGAGGACTCGGTGCGCCAGATGTACAAGTGCGTGTTCAGGAGCGAGGCGCTGCGACGCAAGTCGTTCTCGCTGCAGCCCCAGGACCCCAGGCCCAGCCCCAGGCTCCCCGCGACGCGGGTGGTGCGCGCGCTGGCGGACGGCGAGGCGGTGAGGGCGCTGCAGGCCGCGGCGACGGCGGGGCGCGCCCTGCTGGTGGTGGAGCAGGTCGCGGCGCCGGGCCGCCTGCTGGTGGCGCTGAGCGCGCGCTTCCTGGCCGGCCACGGAGCCCGGAAGCCGGTGGAGAGGCTGCTGCTGCTGCGGGACGCGCTGACGACCACCGGCGAGGACCTGCTGCTCCGCCTGGACGGGCTGCTGGCGGACGCCGGCGTGCAGGTCGCCGTGCGCGGCGTGGCCTGGGAGGAGGCGCCCGGCCCCGCGGCCGTGGTGGCCTCGCAGCTGCTGGCCCTGCTGCAGGCCAGGGCGGCGGCGCAGCGCACTGACGCCTGCCCGTCCCGGACACCGACGCGGGCGTGGAGCGGCAGCCACTGTCTGAACAGGCGCATCGCCGCGGCGTGCGCCCGGCGGGAGGACTCCGTCAGGGCCTTGTTGGAGGTCGCCGACGAGCTGCAGGGACTCCTCGGCGGCGCGGGACTGGGCGTGCTACGCCGGGCGTGCCCCGCGGTGACGCCGGAGGCCTGGGCGACCCTGGACGGGGTGGTGAGCGCGCTGGCCGACCCGCGCAGCCTGCACGACGTCATCGACGCCCTCAAGCAGCTGCGGCGCCTGGAGGCGCTGGCCGCGGCGCGGCTGGACCGCCTGCTGCACGCCCTCAACGACTCCACCCTGCACGTGGCCGCCCGCATTCTGGCGGCGGTGCTCGCCGCGGCCCAGGGCGTGGCCGCCCTGCTGGCCTTCTCCGGCCCGGCCGACCTGTCCGCGGTGCGGGACTGCTTGGCGGCGCTACGCGACGTGAGCGCCGTGGCCGCGGCGGCCAGGGGCAGCGCCGGCGGCAGGCTGCGCTTCCAGTCCGCGCGCGCCGCGTCGCCGCTCGTGGCGAACGTGTTGGCGGCGGCCCGCGACTGCGTGCTGGCCAGCGTGCGCGACAACGCCCTGCCGCTGTGGACGCGCCACATCCTGGTGGAGGACGACGACGACGTGTTTCTGGAGGACGCCGTGCAGAGCGTGGAGTCGGACGCGCGGCGCGCCGTGCTGGCCGACCTGCGCCGCCTGCGGCAGCAGCGCAGCGACGCCGGCGGGCCGTGGCGGTGCCCGCGGAGGCTGCTGGCCGGTTGCTGCAGCGCGCCGCTGCGAGCGGACTTCCCCGCGCTGGAGGACGCCCTGCAGGCCCTCGCCACGGCCGCCGCGCCCACCGGCCCCTGCTGCGGGCACTGCAGTGCCGCCGACGGCGAGGCGCGCCCCGTCGACTCGCTGCGGGACAGCTTGCTGGGCGCGGGGCGCTGCCCGGAGGACCTCCTGGAGCCCACCATGATCCTCCTGTCCTCCACGGACTGGACCGCGGCCCACGAGCACGGCCTCGACGTGTCCCGCGTCGTGGAAGGCCTTTGCGCCGAAGGCCTGCCGGAAGTAGAGTGTAGCGGGCCGCAGTGAGGGGGAGGGGGAAAGTCGCTCTGAGGAAGTGGAGCGTCTTGCTCTGTTGTATTGTATATTTGTTGTCTGTTTACGTATTGTCATTTGAAAATGAACCTTTATTCTAAACTACCTGAACATAACTGTCATTGTAAATGTGTATTTATACTTAGCTACTGAACTTTTTCTGTATTAATTTCTGCTTTTTGCGTTAATTTCTTGCCTTGTAGTGGGATATTGTGAGAGGGAGGGGGTGCTGCTTTTAGGAAATAGTGTCGTGGTTTGGTGTATTGCATCTGTTGTCTGTTTGTATTATTATTGAAGAAATATATTTATTCGAAATGACTGAACGTGTTCTGTTTTCATGTTTGATTTTTATCAAAGCTGGTTTGTTGCCTTGAGTCTTAAAATGAGAGCTATGGAAACGTGGGCTACAAAGTTTCGACGCACCACGGGATTTTCGACTCTTAGGACACGTAGATTGCAGCCTCAATACGGCTCAAATTTACAAACGATTGCATTTTGGGGTTAATGACACATAGAAGTTATTGTTTTATTCGTGAAGTATCTGATAAGAGCAAGAAAACACAAGGAAAGGTTCAAAGGGGGAAAGTACAGGAAACAAATTTTTGGTGCAAAACAATGGGCAAATTCTGTTGAAATTACGGTCGCTGAGCGGAATAAGAAGACGATCGGCTTGGCGTGTAGACACTGAAAACCCACCGGGCAGATTTCTCACCACTCCAGAGGCGGGATGGAAAGGCCTGCCCGCGTTTGGTCAGACCTGGACGTCTCGCCGAAGTTTGGACAGACCAAGAAGTCCTCGCCGCTGCGAATGGTCTGATACTTTGGTCGGATCACATTTTGACCAGTATTTTGCAAGAAGTCCATACATGAGACGATTCAACTCTGCAAACTCAACAGTGTGCTGAGCACACTCTGTTCAGCATGTACTCACACTGCAAAAAGAGTACTCAGATGAGTACACTGCAACAAGAGCGTGCTTAGATGAGTGCACTTTGACGAGAGTGCTCAGGAAATGCATGCAGTTTAGTACGCGCTCGTGGGAGAATGCTAAAGACAGTGTACTCGTCAGTGCACGTTGAAGAGAGCGTAACTCGTCGGTACACGCTAAAGTACTGAGTACACTGTTGAGTTCGCAGAGAATACGGGCCCCTTGAGGCGTGGCGTGGACACTGTAACCACTTGCAAAAGAAAGCGACCTCCCGGCCGGGCCCGGCACTACCCCGCGTCCAGGCGGCTTATGGGATCTCCAGCAGCTACCTGAGTGCGGGGTAGCGCCGGGCCCGGCCGGGAGGTCGCTTTCTTTTGCAAGTGGTAGGAGAGAGAGAGAGAGAGAGAGAGAGAGAAGTCAGTCTCCACTGGTTTTCTTCTCTCCTTCCCTTGTGCCTTCCACTTCCAGTAGTCCGTCGCCGTCACCCGGAGCGTGTTGTGTTTAGTGCGAGCCGGACATCAGCCGAAGGCGACGGTGCGACGCGGACTTCGCCGGGGCGGCGCGGCTGGCGAGCATCCCACGCGGCGGGGATTTGTGCGAAACTGAAAATTTCACTGTGTTCAGCACACACTGGGAGCCCACCCTGGAAAGAGAGGTATATTTTTCAGGCGCCGCCTGCATGGGAATCTCAGGCGTTACTTTTGCTGTGTACACACTTTTGGTACGAAAGTGTGTACTGGGTGCACACTTAAATTTTCAGTACGCGCTTCGCAACGGCGGCATCAGGCGAAACGTATCATGCCGCCCACTCTCACTCCAGGAACGTGACATCACGTAGAAATGAATGAGGCCAAATTTCACGGTTTTTGGGCATTGTGCACGCACGGTAAAAACGGTTACTGGTTTTCCCAGGAACTTCCTGGAAATCGCCTATACCTTCACCATTGGCTTCCTGCGAAAACCAGGTTCCGTTTTAACAGTCCGCACAGTCATTTGGATGTGAATTAGCCAAATCAGCTTATTTCACATTCCGACGAATGTGACATACTGCTCAAAGAAACATGACATTTTGTCACATTTGTTTCAACGTGATGTTACGTTCCGTGAATGAGAGTGCCGTTTGATGTTTGTTTATCCAGCCCGTACCACCATGGATTGCCCGGTGTGCTTCTACCAATGGGACTTGCAGGGACGCCGGCCGAAGGGTCTGCCTTGCCAGCACAGCGTGTGCGCGACCTGTCTAGGGCGCCTTCCGGGTCCGCAGCCGCTGTGCCCGACGTGCCGTGTGGTAGGTCCTCCGAACTAAACTCAACTAACTCGCCAAAAAAGCGGCATGGCAGAAAAAGTCATGCCCAGAATTGGCCAGATTTCCATGTTACGCTAATTTTTAGTCATGCCAAGTGTCGGTCAGGCCAATTTTTGGGTCATGCCGGTTTTTGGGTCATACCAGTTAGGGTACCGTCATGCCAGGTTTTGGATCATGCCAGTTTATTGGTCATGCCGGGTCATGCCAGTCTTTGGGTCATGCCAGGTTTTGGGTCTTGCCAATTTTTGGGTCATGCCAGTCTTTGGGTCATGCCAGTTTTTGGGTCTTGCCAATTTTTGGTCATGCCAATTTGTGAGTCATGCCATGGCATGACTTTTCTCATGAAACTCATCGGTAGCACCATCGCGAACTTTGAAGTGACGCCAGATTCAGGTCACGTCACATGTCACGGCATGTCTTACGGCGTGACTTTTGTGTCACGCCAATGTCGGTGGTACTTTTTTTTTGTTGGCCATAAGGTGGCCATGTCCGACCATTAATGGTGTATACCATGTGTTGCAGGCGTTCGCGAACCCTGTGCCGGACAACTTCGCGCTGGTAGCGTGCCTAGAAGCACTGGAACTTGAGCGGTGAGTGTGACAAAAGACCCACGATCCAAGCCAATTTTCTGTGACAATTCGTCAGTGATGTAGGTCAAAACCAACTATTTTCCAAAGTAAATTTTTCTTACGTGGTTAATTTTTTTTTACTTGTAATTGGAAACGGGACGAGGCGCCACTGCAGTGGCAAGGAGGCTTACCAACGGTCTCGATGATGGGAATCACTCAGGGATCCTTAACTTACCTCATGAGGGCATCATAACGTTATCATAAGAGTTAAAGTTATTACCCTTAACTTCTAACATCTTTTCAAAAGGGTAGGTTATTGGCTGAGCGATAGCGAAGCCTGTTACTCCAGTGGGGTTGAAAAGTTTTTTCTGTCTGTCTGTCTGTCTGTCTGTGTGTCCGCACTACTCCTCCTGAACGGCTCGGCCGATCTCGGTGAGATTTTGCACACTCTGTGGGTATGTCCTTGGCTCGGGACACGCGAAATTTCACTACCCTAGCTCAAATGGTTCAGTTTTTATAGCCAAAAAACACCTAAAAACGGCGAAAAATCGAGTTTTTTGCAGATAGATTACTTCTGTCTTGGAGAAAGGGGGGTCCGGGGGGCGGGGCCCCCCAGCCCCGACAGGGTAAAAAGTTACAAGGGTCAAGATCGTCTTATCTGTAGATAAAACAACCCTATTTAGAATGTAGGGGGGTCTGGGGGCGGAGCCCCCCAGCATTCAACAAGTTAAAAAATAACCAACAATGGACAAGCCATTGCCTGCCGCAGGCAGCCTAGCGCCGCAGGCCAAGGTAGGTACTTACGCCAGGCGCGGATTGGAGAAACAGGCAGCGAGACATCGCGAAGCCTGTTACGACAAGACGCGGTCTGGCGTAAACCTACCTTGTTTTTTTATGTCTCGAATTTGTTTGGATATACTTTTGCAAGTACTTTCATTAGCCCGTACCCTTAACCTTTAGCGAACATTGTCTTATGTTACGTTACGAAAGCAGTGTTAGTTAAATGTTAAGTTAAGGATCCCTGGAATCACTGAAATTCAAAGGGTGAGACATCTGACCGATTTTCGGTGATACAAAAAACGGTCAGACATCAGCGAGACTGGCTTAGCTAGGGGATATATCAGCCTTTACCCGTGATACACCATAAAGAATGACCGTTTTTCGGTCATACATCGAAGCATGACCTTTTTTCTGTCTTTCATTTCAGTATGACCCTTTTTCGGTCGTACATTTCAGTAAGACCGTTTAACCGGTCAAAAGTATGACCTTTCTATTTTCAGTGATGGATTTGCTTACACTGCTTTTTCAGCATCAAAGTCGTTGGTAAGTCTCCTATGCCGCTGCAGTGGTGCCCCGCTCCGTTTTCAATTACGGCCGTTTGCCTGCCCTTGACCAGAGCAAATGTGTTTGAGAGCTTTCGGCAGTGTGTCCCCTGTGCTGCAGGTGGTGGTGCCTGGACTGCCAGTCGACCGCCTCGACCAGGTGCATGGGCGAGCACGACGTCCGGCGGCCCAAGGCTGCCCTGCGGCAAGGCCTGCAGGATTGGATGCCGGCAGCAATGCGGGGCCTCCAGGGACTCCAGGACGGCCTCCAGGGGCTGCAGGACGGCGCCGCCCTGACCGCCCTGCGGCTGCTGCGCGGAGTGCCCGCCGCCTGCAAGGTGACCCTGCGGCAGGACGATGGCGGCGAGGCCTTGGGCGCCGAGTGGCGCGTCGAGGAGCACGCCGAGGACTCGCTGCTCAGGACGCTCGTCGTGGCCCTGGCTGCCAGCGGCCGCCTGCGACAGGTGGGTCTCACGGCCTTGCGTCGCCTCGAACTTCTATGACGTCGCTCTGGCTCGAGGCACTGAGGCACTGAGTTACAATCATAACTAAAATTTTTGGTGAGAAAGGTTTTTTACCCAAATTTGGATGATAATACGGTGAAAACCGTACCTGGTTTTCCCAGGAGGTGGTAGAGACATATGCCATTTCCAGGGAGTTCCTGGGAAAACCAGGAATCGTTTTAACCGTGTGTGTGTACACTGCAAGAAAAAGTGTGAATAGTACAACAAATGTACAACAAAAACTGTACAATAAAAGTACAACAGGGATTGTAGAAAGTACAACAAAAATTGTACAAACCACAACGAGGCCTGGACTGCACAGCACTCGTCATGCCGGTTCCATTGTACTTTGTACAACAATTGTTGTACTTTAAAAGTACAATAAAAACCTGATAAAAAATTTACCAGAAATTTGTGTACTTTTGTTGAGGTTTCTTCTTGCAGTGCACATATAGCTAATGCATCTTTTATTTTGGGTGATAAAGTATACCTTGCTCAAAATTGGGTATTGAGACCCTTTCATTCCCTGTGGGCTTAAGCCCAGTTGGGCGCTGGGCACGAAAACTTATGAGATTTATTGAGCCTAAAATCACGTATCTGGAATGGACGCTTGCTCACCGCCGAGTGAACAACAAAAGTAATAAAAAGCAGGAACCAGCAGCGCCCCACGCAGCGAGCCCACTGCTTTGGACTTCGTACCAACGCTAGTGTGTGGTTGTCCAGTGGTTTCGTTGGACAACCATACAGCTAGTGACCAATCAGGGTTGAGCTTTTGACCGAGGGGAAATAATTTCGAGTGAACTTCACTTAAGGTAGAAGAGTTTCAATCAATTTCGACTAAATTTCATGAATTCCGAAGAAATTTGTCATAATTAAATTAAATATTCGAGGGGTCCTATTCAATATATCTTATCTACGCGTTCCCCCCCAAGACAATCTTATCTTAAACGCAGGCAAATTTCACTCAGTTTGATCATTTGATACAGCTACAAATCAATATAATTTGTGATTAAATTCACTGAAATGTAAAGATGAAAGATCAAAGAAACCAATAGTGCATGCAGAAATATATCCCGCTTACTCTCGTACCCATCCCAAATGGTCAAACTGAGTGAAATGTGCCTGCGTTTAAGACAAGATTGTCTTGGGGGGAACGCGCGCAGATAAGATCTTTTGAATAGGACCCCTCGTATTGTCCTTAAATTTCAATGTACGTCTTTTTTAGTTGATGCTTTATTTGGCGATCTCTGAAAGGGTCTATGGGGTCTATGAACCAGCAAGGGGTACTTACTGCATTTGTATGTCAGTGCAGGGAAGTCCTGCGGAAGGCGCCCTCTGCACCGCCGCTGCCGGCCGAGCAGCGCATCGAGGAGCTCGCCTTGGTTCTCAGCACTGCTGGCCCTGGCGCTCGACGGGGCGAGAAGGAAAAGACGCTGCACCGCGTGCGACAGCATGGGGTGAGTGTGCAGCCACACTGGTAAAACTAAGGCGTCCATGTCCACTTTTGGAGTGACTTGGGCCCCCAAGAATCTTTCCATACATTTTGTAATTTTCTTTGAAAGTTTATTTATTGTATGAAAGATGTGCATGAAGCTAAGATATTATCTTAAATTAAATTGAGCTGATTTTGCATGATGAATGTGCGCATTATCCCCGTGGTTGTAAAATTGAGCATGGGTTTTCATTACGCTTGAAGTCGAGCGTACTGACTTTACGCTTGCAACCAGCCGAAGTCGTTCAAAAGTCCGACCTCTGGTGGGCATGGTGCAGGCGCAAACGTGGAGAACTCCCACTCTTGGGGACCTGAAAATTTCACACCTCCGCATTTGAAGTGTTGATCAGTTCTCTACAGTTGGTTTCAAAGTGCCCTCTAAATGTTTGTACTTGTACTTGTAATGTATGTACTTTTATTGTCCATAGCCAGGGCCGTTTTTGTACATTCAGAAGTTAAGTACAAATTTGTACATAAATTAGGGGCAATATTTCCATATTGTACTTCAGTACTTAAAAATTGTACCTAATTTATGTACAAATTTGTACAGAACTTCCGGTAAGTAACGCCGTGCTGTGCCTGCAGGTGCGCAGGGTGACCGAGGTGGACTGCAAATCCGACCCGGCCTGGTGCCTGGACTTCCTGTGCAGTGCCGCCCCCTCGCTGGAGGAGCTGGAGGTGTCGCACCCCGGCGAGGACCACCTGAGCGTGGTGCACTGCATGCCGCGACTGCGGCGGCTGCACTTGGGGTGCGACTACGGGCCCCTGGCCGCCCTGCTGCCCGCGCTGCCGCAGCCCAGCAGCCTGCAGTGGCTGCGGGTGTTCGGCCTCCCCTCCGCCACCACCCAGTCCCTGCTGCGGGCGCACGCGGCCTCGCTGGATGTGCTGTGGCTGGGGATGGGCGCCGCGCCCGGCGCGGACTGGCCAGACGGATGCAGCGACCTGGACGCCTTGCTGGGCCCGTGCGGCCTGCGCCTGTCGCGCCTCGTGCTGCTGCGCAGCCACGGCCCGGAGGGCGAAGCTGCCTGCCGCGCCCAGGTGTCTGCGGGACGCCGCGCGCTGGGCGGCTGCACCGTGCAGTGCTTCCAGTGTGCTCGTGTTCCAGAGGAGGCCCTCTAGCGACACAGCGCGCGTGCGAGTACTCAACAAATCGAAAGGCGTACATTGTATGCTCTACCTGGAGCATGCCTGAAAGCACGCTCTAGCTAGAGCATGCATGCCAAGCATGCACTGACTAGTCCATACATGCCATGTACACGCTTCCTGATGCAGAAAACTCCCCATCCCTTACACTCTCATTCCAGGAGCGTTTAACGCTGTAATGCATCACGTTGAAACAAACGTGACACAATGTCACGTTCGTTTGAGCATTGTGTCACATTGGTTTGAATGTGAACAAGCTAAATTTTGGCCGATTCACATCCAAACGAATGTGACACAATGCTCAAACGAACGTGACACTTTGTCACTCGTTTCAACGTGATGTCACGTTCCTGGAATGAGAGTGTATGCACCAGATTCATTCAGTTAGCGTGTACTTTGCATGTTTTCACTAGTAAGTGCGTGCTTGGCAGGCATGCGCTAGCTTGAGCGTGCTTGCAGGCATGCTCAAGGTAGAGCATACAATATATGCTTTTCGATTTGTAGAGTACTGGTTCGTCCAAGTCGAGATTGACCGCGCCGAACAGTGTCTGCAGTATGGACACTCGAAAGAACTCGTGAAGGGACCTTGCTCGGACCTTGCAGAGAAAACCAAATGTTAGCACACTGTAAAAAAATTCTGAAATTTCAGTACAATTTGTTCAGACTTTGCAGTCTGAATCGGTAATTCAGAAAGTTGCTTTGAATTTTCAGACTAGGAACTCAGAAATTTGAGATCACACCGCTTAGTCTGAATTTCAAGCAGAAGGTCTGAAAATTCTGATAAAGTTTTCAGACTTGTCATCCTGAAAGCTGTTTTCATAATTTTGGTATGAAAATTTTGACAGATTGTCTCCTAATCAAGTCTAGGCGTAAGGCGTTGTATAAATGTATCGGAAATAATAATGTACACCCGTGCTTCACGCAGATTCGTCTGTGTACGGTAGATTAACCGTAAGAGTTGTCCAAACTTGCATTCTGGACTTGCCGAAAGGAGCTGGTATCCTCAGAAGAGAGTCACGCGGCACGGCTTCCCCCGCCGCCAGGCAGCGCCCGTAGCGCAGTGGTACCGAGCTCGTCTCGTAACCAAAAAGTCCCGGTTCGAACCCGGGCCAAAGCGAACAAGTGAAAAGTGGAAAGGAGGTACCGTCACACGTTGGTGGTTCATATTGTTCTCTTGTTGATTACTTTCTCTTTGATTTAAATATGGCACTTTTATTTAATATTTCAGAGTAGCAGTCTGAAAATGTTTTTCAGACAAGTAGTCTGAATTTGGAATTCAGACAGAATGGTCTGACTTACTACTCTGAATTTTCAGACAACTAGTCTGTTTAAAAACTTCAGACTAAAATTATGAAATTTCAGTAATACTTTTTTTACAGCTGCAAAGAAAAGTTCTCCACAATCACAACGAAAAAAAAAATCTTTTTATGTTTACATATCAAGTAAAGAAAATTATATATAAGCTATGAACAAATTTGATTGCGCACCTCACAAACTTTTATATGGATATGAAACAACTTGCAGTCACACGTGAATTTCTGCGCATCTAAAAATTAATTTATTTGCAATTTTGAGACCCAATTTCACCAATTAAATGTTCAACTAAATGACTTATGACAATTAAATGATATGGCACTAATACATTACAATCTACATGTTAATTTGAGCATATTATCATCATCATGAACTGATCAAACAAACATCTGTTCTTTGCTAGTTTACAAAGACATTTTATTGCAAGTCTTTAGACTTAAAACGCAAGTTGCAAAGAAAATTCTTCATAAACTTGTGACGATTTTGTTTAGTTTTACAAGGACCCTGTTTTTTTTTGTTGCTTTCTTTTGCAGTCACTGAAGAAATTACTTTGCAGTGCGACTTCCTTGGCAAAACGTTTTAGTTTGAACTCAGTTCTTTGTCACAAAATGTCTGACGACCTCGTTCTGTTTTCAGCAAATTTTGTTTGATGGGAGGTTGTCGCTAGAAAGTACTTATCGTTTTTAGGTTTGACGTGACAAGTCAATCTGGACCATGTTTCTTCCTCTGGTAATTTCTTTGATTTTAGGTTGTGTTGGAACACTGAGTGTACTTAATGTTGACAGTCATTTGAGAATCATTAAAGGTGCTTTTCATTAGGAACGGTTTGATTTCTTTATTCCCTGATACGATTTTGCAAACACTTTGATTCATTCGTTTTTTCACAACTATAGTGGCAGTTTAGGATAGATTTCGAAATCCACCAAATTTTGTTTCAACTCTTGGTTGGTCTGAAAATGTAGAATGCAACCATGTTTAATTTTTAAAAGTTGAATACAACCGGTACGTTTACAAAGCGAATTTCCAATCACGTCATCTTCCATCTGCTTGAAAACTTATTTCCTACATTTTGGCTCAAACGGGATTGCGATCTCTGAATTTTTGTGGGTCAGGCGTATCGCTCCTTTGGCGTATGTCACGAAGATTTAATTTGCAGCTGACGTCCGATTGGTCCAGTTCTTGGCTTTCAACGCTTCTTTAAATACGTACTGTGGACATAAAAGTTTTTAAGTGTGCAAGAATATTGAATGGAATCCCTCCCGGCCCGCGTGGTTCAAAGTTGATTTGGAGTCATACTCGGCACTTTTTGCCTCTGCCGACGAACAAGGCATTATTCCGGAGACGGCTGACTGTAAGTTAAGTCCGTTCGGTCTCTGAATGAGGCATTTTGCGATAGTGAAGAAGAGAAAGAAGAAGATGCGGCGGTGGGGGTAGAACATAACAAACCCGCATTTGTTTAGGCAGCTTGTCTGCTTACGGGGCGGGGGCGGGTGGGGGCCATTATGGCCGCCAAACAAATGAGGGTTTGTGATGTTCTACCCCTACTGCCGCATCTTCTTCTTGCTCTTCTTCACTATCGCAAAATACCTCATATGCGGCTCTACAAAACGACGCGCGTCCGACGACTGTCCGTCTGCTGGCTGTTGACTGAGCGCCGCTGGGCGAGGGGTGAAGAGGAAGGGGGAGAGAGGGACAGAGAAAAAGAGAGAGGAAGATGAAGGGAGAGAGGGGAAGGGAGAGAGAGCCGCCGCCAGTGCGTGGTAACTCCGGCCTTATAGGATTCTCTTATTTGACCGAACTGGAGGAGCAGGGCGCCAACGTGACACGGGCTAAAAACAAAAATCCTCCCGTGTTAGGGGCAAATCTGCAACGGAGCTATTTATCGATATTTGACGTATTTTTGATAGAATAATGCGTATACAATGAAAGGAGGCGTAAATGAAACAAAATTATTTCATAGCAAGTTAGTTTAGACCCAATTTAGACCTTTTCAAATTTTGTCAAGCGTTTTTGCTTGTAGGTTGGTGGAATCGGGTTGTCGTCTGCTGAAGTAAATATAAACAATAAACAAAACATACTGTCCGCTATTTTGTTTACTAAATTTTGTAAACATCGTCTGCTTGTTTGTAAACAAACTTTGGTAAATGTAGTCTGCATGTTTGTACACAAGCTTTTGTAAACATCTCCATGTTTGTAAACTCTCCTTTAAGTATTCTTTGGGCCAAGATTTTGAGGTGTTTACTTGGATGGATAAGAGTTTATGTCCTTAATTCTTTGAAAAGGGATTGAGAAAACAATGTTCATATATTCTTTTTGATAACATTCTTTTATTAATTAAACGGCTGTTTCAGACACATCTTATAAATTTATTAGCCGCGACAGGCACACAAAAGTGCGAAGCCTTCTGCCACCAGGGGAAGACTGCAGCTATGGCATGAACACTCTAAATTGAAAGTTGTCTTCTTGCAGTGCTCGCAGCGACACTTTCTTCAGTCAAAGATTAGTGTCCTAGCGATCCAATTTGCGTCTATCTAAATGGTGCTTCTTCCTGGCAATTGTGAGTGCATGCTTGCAAGTACATAAAAGTACGTAGTTGTGATCATAAACACACTTACAACTGCATGTTGCATGTATGCGCTCAGAGGCATGCACTCGCCAAGAAAGCACTTGTAACGGTCTACCTGCGAAAATGCACTCAAGTGACCCAGGCACATTCAACTGATCATAATCAGCAGGGCAAAATGGATGGGGTCTGGAACGACATGATCATTCAATGTGTCCGTTCCCATGTCAAAAGAATTGTTGTCGTTGTTTTCGCTGTCATCAACATTATCCATTCCTTCATTTGGGTGGGATTCCATTAAGCCTGGATAAATAAAAAGATAAATTAATTTTTGAGTGCATAAAAGAAATGGCAATTCATATTTCTTAGAACCTACCACAATTACAGGCATGTTCAGCACCAGAATTGCGTTTGAATACAGAAATGTTGTCTTGACCAGAAGATTCAGAAGAAGAGCCTAGACATACAAGAAAAGATTACTTAAAAAGTCTACCACAGCCCATTTCTCTTTGTTGCTTTGAGAAAACAAAAGGAAAACCTACAGGAATAATTGTTTCCTCTGGCCTCAAATTCAGTGCAGGTCTTGTAATGTTCACTCATGCTTGGAACAGCATTGCACTTGTGCTGCCCACTAGGATGCAAATCATCGGGAGCAAAGCGCCTAGCACACACCTATTTATTGCTAACCTTTTTCAGCTGCAGCAGTTTAACTTTGACACAAATTAATCCACAATTTGTACCTAGAAATAAAAAACAACGGGAGATTAAGTGAAAAGAAATATTTAACTGCTGTGCGTGCATGGCAGAAGAGGGCTAACAGATAAAAAGAAGAATATTAGCAAACCAAGCAGAGCAAACAAAAACACAAGTTAAGAGGCTTTAAGCAAAAGCGTCAAAAGAAAATAATGCAGAAAGCAAGACAGGCATTGAAAACCATCCAAGGCATCAGAGCATATTCTGTGCTATAGAAGCCATATAAGAACCTAATAAATGAAAGAAACCAAAGAGAAGTCTTGTTAAAGAATTACTAAGTGTCTTACTCTGAATATTCTAGGCTTTTGCAGACAGATTACATACTTTTTCACATTGATAGAACATCTTTTATGACATATCAGCTGCACTCAAATGAAGCAGTAAATAAAACCATCTGGAGCACCACTGGCGTATGCTATTTCACGATAAGTTCCATTAAAAGTGGCACTTGCTACACATCAAACCGCTTACCCAGCTGTGAAAAGGATGGCAACACATCCAGCCATAACTTGTGCACTGAAATTTTGATCAGAACAGTATCTTGACAAGTACCAGCTTAATTTATCAACCAACAAACCGGCTGTAGGAACATACTCTTGATGCCAGCACACAAGTTATGCTTGAACGATTAATGCTATACGGGCTTGAACAGAATAATGTCACATTATTACCCAAGTAGACACAGCTCACGGATGCATCGAATTGAATGTTATATTGAACAGATTATCCAGATTGGTCAATCGCCACTTGAAATTACAACTTGTGAACTGTGTATACTTCATTACAACATGAATAACATTGGAATGAAAAGAGTGAACAAATTATATTGACTTATACATCCGTGTGAGGGAATCATTTGAAGCTGGCTTCGTCGTTTGTGTTTGTGCTACACATTCCACAGTTTTCACATTTGACAATGCTGCTGCCTGATGCCCGTGTAAAGTATCTCTTTCCATTTCTTTTCTTCGGTACCAAGGATTCCTCTCTAGCCTCATCCTCAGATCCTCTACGCTTTGAGTGCATCGCTCTGAAACCTAAATAGGGAAACAAAGAAGCCATAACACACGTTACACGCAACCTATATGAATGCGGCAGACTCCATTCTATCCTTTTCCATTCAACTTCAAGCCTAGATTCGGTTACTCTTACTATAAAAGAGTTAACCTTGTGAGAAAGCATGCTTCCAACAGATAGGCTATGATTGATAATGAAGGAAACATGTGAACATGTTAATAGATACTCGAACACATAGGGTTATTAATATTGAATAAAATGCAACTTGAGACGAAAGTAACGATACGTTAATGACATTACAGCAAATATCTTAAAATTACAGAAAATGTACGTACCTTCCGTTCCGTAGCACCGTGGAAATGGAGTGATTTGAACTGGAGTGGAGTGCAGGGTAGAAAACACGACATTTTAAAATTTTAATCAGTACTTCGTTAATAACCCAAGAACTTTCCTCAAACATCTTAAAATAACTTTTAAAGTCATTCATTTCTATTTTTAAGCTTTATTTCGCTTTAATTTAAAATAATATATATTTGCGAGGGCTTTTAGTGTTCTAGGGTTGCCATCCCTGCTCCTCCAGTTCTGAAACCCCCCAAGCGCCCACCTCCTTTCCCCCACCCTGGGAGTTACCACGCACTGGCCGCCGCCGCCGCCAGCCGTGCCGGGAAGTAGCTAGAGAACTCAGAGTCAGAGACAGCACCGCAGGCAGCAGCAGCAGACAGTGCAGTGAGCGACACCAAGTCAAGCAGTTCGGTCAGTCGTCACCAGTGGCCGTCCGCGCCCGCGCGTTTCTGCCGGGCTCGGCTAAACGCGCGAGTTCGCCGACGCAGTGTGGCGTCCGTGTGGCGCGACGGGGAATACTCCGCGTCGAGGCTGCCCTTGCTATCTCCCCGGCCCTGACGCGGCACCACACTGCCGCGCCCCGCGTTGCCAGCTGAGCGGGGAATACGCCAGCAGAAGGTAAGGGGCCGTCTGTTGATTTCGTAATGCACTTCCCGATACTTTTTGCCCACCCTCTCATGTTCTGCTCTGCAGCGTTACGCAGGACAGACTCTCACTTTCTCTCTCTCTCTCTCTCTCGGAGATACTCGTACGTCTAGCGTTTCGCTTGTCTCTTCCGGGGCCGTCAGCAAATGGGTTAGTTGACCTGTGGGAAAACATGGCGGCGCCTCACAACAAAGCAGAAAGCTTGCTCTCGTTGCGAACTGTTGATGGCACTCAGTGCACTTGCATATCGGATATCAAATAGAGTCAAAATATTTATTCAAGGTGATCTCCGCACTGTAGATTGCCTCGGGCAACTATTTTCGCACTTTGAGTGAAGTGGCTTGCTGCTATGTTGTAGGACTCCGCCATGTTTCGCGTACGGAGAATCTAGCTCATTTTTATTTACGCCAAACAACCCCCTCCCTCTCTCTCTTTTCCAACAACTGAAGGGGCTGGTCACCAACAAATATCAGTGCACTTTACAGTATTTTAGGCAACTGGCTGAGCGCTCCTGTTACCTGATCTGACGCTTTCTTCATTAATGTGAGGACACAAACTTAGCGTATCGTCAATGCTTCAATCAAGCGTAAACATAGTCTATTACTTATTTCTTGGAAGAGCAGAACTGGAAGTTAGAAATGATCCGACGGGCGAGCTGATCTCGTGTGAGCAGCATGCTACATTTTTAATTAGCGCGTACTGAACGTGGGTTGGGTTTTTGGTCTCTCACTGCGTAACTTTTTTCAAACTTTTCCAAAGTGCGATCGCCTTTGTCTCAACCTTCACTTCACACCGAGAATGAAAGAGTCATGATCATGACTAAAATTTTGGGTGAGGAATTCTTTATTACCCAAATTTGGGCGAGGAAATTTTCCTCGCCCAAATTTGGGTCATAATACTATGGTGCTATATAGGGAGCTGATACACCCTTCCTCACCCAAAATTGGGCGAGGAAACGTTCCTCGCCCAAATTTGGGTGAGAAAGTAAACCTCGCCCAAAATTGGGTATTGATCATGACTTTTTCATTCTCAGTGCAGACTTCCGTTTGCAGTCCTACTTTCGGGTACTGTATTAGAATACCATGTAACGCACGGTTTTAGGTAAGTTGCGCACCCACCAGCGCACTTGCTTGGGCGAAATTTCAAATTAAAGCAACGCTTTTCTAACGGAATTGGTAATCCGTGGACTAAATGCCGAACATAGCGCACGCTACTGGCTCGTGGACATAATACAGTACTTATGAACGTTTCAGGTCTATTCTGAGGAAGGGAAGGAGGTGCGCGCATGTTCCTCGACGCTACTGCTCGGAAAAGGAGAGTTGTAGCAGTGTAGTCAACGTTCCACTTTATCGGGGCCAGTCCCACAGTCATATTTTCTAGAACTTAATTAACGAGTTTAGGCGTAACAGACCCATTGAACAGCACATTCCTGCAGCCTTGCCGCAGGACTAGCAAGCCTCCAGGGCTCCCCACCACCGGAAGTGAGCCAAAATATCTGAGCAGTCACAAGAGGTGTGATTATTTTGGTTATTTTCGGTCATTTCATCCAAAATCCTTTCGTTGCGGTTAGACTGCTCTGGAACCATTTGACACGCAGCGTTTTCTAGGGTGGGGAGGTGGATCCGGTTGAGTACTTTACAGAATCTACGCGTGAAACCACTGTGCACGCACACGCAGCCAGTTTACGTCGTAATTTCTGACGTACTGTTCCCCACACCCTCTCGGAGCTAGCACGGAAGGCCTCTGTTTTTCTTCGGGTCCTATCTCATCGGAATCACGTTCGCTTGTCGTCCGTCGGACCGCGAGTCTGCGTGTGGTAAGGTGAGCCTCACTCGCCTCACGGGTCGTACTTCCAGAGTAGTCGCAGTGTTGCACCGCAGTGAGCCGAAGACTCGCGTAACGTGTCAGTGTTAGCTCCATTCCAACTCGCTGGATCTGTATTCCTTCAGAGTGAGGTGCGCATTCCTGTCACTTCTTCCGTCTACTTTTCGGAGTTTCTTAAAACTATCAATAGAGTACTCCAAAGAAGCTCTGGCCCGGAAGAAGAAGAACAAAACCGGAAGTAAGAAATTGCAGTTTCTATGAGAAATATACGCTGCGGACCCTCATGCGCAGCGTATATTTCTCATAGAAACTGCAATTTCATACTTCCGTTTTTGTTCTTCTTCTTCCGGGCCAGAGCTTCTTTGGAGTACTCTATTCTTAGTCATCTGCACGCGTTGTCCTTATCAACATGATAGAATACGCTCCAACAGCACGGTACTAATGATATGTACTTTTCACTATAGACGCTCATTCGTTCAGTTTTGTACGAGACATCACAGTTTTTTTGTGCACACGAAATTTTCGTACGGAAAACTGCACTGTTCACACGTTGAGCACTTTGTGAACTGGTTGAAAAACTTTGTTTAGTAACGCGATGCCAGTGGGTTTTGGTAGCTCATGATGGATTAGACGCCGGAGGCATCATAAGTTAGCAGAATAAAGAAGGGTGAAGGTAGATGGATAGGTGGGAGGTGACAAAGGAATCATCAGATCTGTTTCCGGTGTTCTTCGTTGCTTTGCTTCTGTTTCAGAGATAGCTGAAACTGTCTATTTCTTAAACTCGTCATCAGAAAATTGACCCTTTCGTGATTCGAAGTTCTTCCTGGAGAGGGTTGTTTCCCGCTGATTGCCGTATCAGAGGTAGAAAGACTGCAAAGTGCGCGAACAGTCGTTTTTGTATGGAAAGCGTTGCTTCCGGTTTGTTCCCTATCCTGAAGGAGTCTCCTTGTCGTCTCTCTTCAGCTCTCCCCGTATAGGGATTGAGCCGAATACCACCGACAGTCCTGAGCGGCAACGGAGAGCACGCCCTTAAATCAAGAACACTGTTCAAAAGACTCAAACCCGTTTCCGCTGCTAGTGATTTGGCACGGTATGTAGTATCTGGCAAGCAAGCAGGGACTTTGAATAGAACCTGGACAAGTCTGATAGTCAGGACTATGACAAGTGGACTGAGCATCTTAGCCATTTCACGATTGAATGTATATTCAGTGACGACGTACACCGGTGCAGCGGAACTTGTTCGTACACCTCCAATCACTGGAAAAAATAAAGCGTAGTATTACCCTCTGTTTTCAAGCGTACACCGTTTACCCTTGAAACAAGCTCATCGGCCAAGATTCCCCTTATCTTAATGCATGGGGGAATTTCCAGAGTATGCTTAATTTCAAGCGTAACATCTTCAAGCGTAACTTTATGCTTGACTCAAGCATAGAGTTACGCTTAAGTTCTACAAGTGATTTGACATTTTTTTGTAACTGAGATAATTATCAGTCTTTCGGAGCAAAACGTTTTTTTTACAGTGGTGCGTTGTATGACTGTTTCGATCAAGGGCGGATCCAGGGACGGGTTCAGGGGGGGGGCGATGTCGCGAAAGTTGCCTACCTACAGGGGTAATGTGCGACTTGTTGCCTACCTTTCAGGCGGCTTCGCCGCCTTCAGGGGGGGGGGGGCGACGCCCCCATCGCCCCCCCCCCCCCTTGGATCCGCGCCTGGTTTCGATCAATCAAGGGCTTTTTTCAAGGGCTTTGTGTTTTCGGTGAGCTGGTTTGCTGGATCCCCGTTGGAAAACCAGGAACCGTTTTGGCCTGCTACCTGCCCTATTGCGCTTTCAGACACTTGTGACGCAGATAAGATTTGAACTGGAATGAAAATCGTTGGTTCAATGTACAGTGAAACTTCGACGAAGAAATCACTTCGTAACACGAATAAAACGAAACGCTATGCAAAATCTACGATGAAATGCTTCGTATTATGAAGCATTTCTTCATTATACGAAGCAATTCTACAATGCCTTCATGGTTATGGAGCAAATAGGGTACTTTCGTAGATCCTGAAACCGGAAGCAAGCAGACCAGCAGACGCCAAATTGGCCGGAAACTAACCTCTCTTCGGATCTAAAACTATAGCCGAGCTGTAAAAATATTGCTCGCGGAATACATATGCACTGCAAACAAGTATTAAACGACTGTTTATGTTCAAGTTTGGCCGATACGTTTGACTAACGTCTCTTTCCCATGTCAAGTTTGGATCTACTTCCGCCAACATGGCGTCTGTGTGCTTCCGGTTCAGGGATCCACGAAAGTACCCTTTTCCTCGCAGTCTGTTTAGAGTGTCTTATTATCCGTTTCAGCTACTGACGTGGGCATGGTCCTCCTAAAGATCCGACCCGTCCGAGTTATGAATGTGAAGCCACCCCAAGGCTGCTAGTTGAACCCCTAACCTGGACCCTGAAACTCTGTTGGCAGTGGAGCAGGATGGGCCGCAAGGACGAGGTGGTCCTGGGCGTGGACCTCGGCACCACCAACTCCGCGGTGGCCGTGTTCCGCGACGACTCGGCGGAGGTGCTGACGAACGACATCGACAAGCGCACCACCCCCAGCTGCGTGTACGTCAGGGACCTGGAGCGCCAGGTCGGCGAGGCGGCGCTGCGTCTGGCCGCCAGCTTCCCCTTCAACACCGTCAGGAGTAAGTGCGAGCCCCGGGGGCGCACACAGAGCGGTCCCATCCGAAAGACCTCATCAATGTGTCTTAATTAAAAGACCTTATTTGGGCGTTCCCACCAAATGAATCTTATCGGAAACGCAAGTGAATTTAGCCTAGTTTGATCAATTGGGACGCTGAGCATACTTCTACATGCACTATTGGTTTCTTTGATCTTTCATTTTCAAGTTTATGGGCAGTAAATCATAAATCGTACTGAGTTGTAGCTGTCAAATGGTCAAACTCAGTGAAATTCACCTGCGTTAAGATTCTCGGGGGGGGAAGGCCCAGACAAGATCTTTTGAATCTTTGAACCTGCTGGAGGAGATAACATTCCCGACAATCTTACATTTAATGTGCAGAATGTTATGAAAACCCCATGCTGGGGCGATTCGTAACAGCATGCAAGAGTTTGGAAAGCGCCTTAGATTTCGAAGATTACGGATTCCAGATTGATGCAATGGAGATGCATAGCCTAGATAAAGGGTCAGACTGCTCACCTGGCACAAGTTTGACACCGATATGCAGAATATTCTTTATTTGTATTGTCCGAAATCTGTTACAAATCGCCCCACTCTCCCTTACTTTATCGTCCAAATTTGGGTAAAGAAGGTTTCCGCACCAAAATTTGGGTGTTAATTGTATATTAGTTATCTATATGGCCAGATAGGAAGTAGGAAAGTTCCCTCATCCAAAGTTGGGTGATGAAATAATGCTCAAACAGATTTATGCATTTACGAAAATCTTCCCCAAATGTGATGTCATCACGTTCCTGGAATGAGACACTCTACCAAAAATGTCCTGTAAATGCTGTTAATTTATTACCAGTTTTCACTGTAGGTCAATTCACAGCGTTTACTGTGATCTGCTCACGGGATTCACTGTGATCTTGTTCACGGTGTTCACTGTGATCTGGTCCCCAGTGAACACTGTGAATTTGACGCCACTGAGCACCGAAGTACTGCAAATCAGGCTTCAATTCACGGCGTTTACTGTGGCCAGATCACAGTGAACACTGTAACTGAGATCACAGTGAACGCCGTGAACTAGTTCACAGCAAACGCCGTGAATTGCATAACAGCAAACATTGGTAATAAATTAACGGCGTTGACAGGACTTTTTTTGTAGAGTGGAGTGCGTGCTTTTTGGACAAACTTGTAGGGAATTTCGCACGAAGTTTAGCGACTTTTGTCTGGAAAATTCCGCTTGCACGAACTGTGTGAGGCTTACTATATTGTACTTGTACTGCATACTAAACGCAGGTACTGTTTGCCTGTAAGTAAATGTTGTGACACTAATTTTATTGAAACTTCCTTCGTGTCATGTGCGTTAACAGTAGCATTTACGCTTTTTGTAACAGTGAGTTTAAGCCTTAAACGAAAACTCATTTATGAGGTTGGAACAAATTAACTAATTTCAAATATATCAATTTTATATGAAACGACTAATAATTAAATTGCATTTGTTTAGACGTGAAATCCGTTCTGGGACGAACGAGCGTGCCCAAAGGAGAGGCCCCACTGGGTCCAGTGGTGACAAGAGACGGTGCAGTTAAGAAATCTATTTCGATTGTAATTGACAACACTGAGGCCGCCATATCATTGTCTCCTGAAGAGGTAAGATGCACACTAAATAACTACGTTGTTTTTTCTGCATAGCTTTTGCACAGAATTGAGCATACAACGCACAAGTTCGTGCGCAATTACGCACAAATTCGTGTATTTTAAGACCCATGCCATGCGCAAATTTGTGGAGTCCTCATATAGTAAGAAAGTGTGTGGGAATTTCGTGTTACAATACAATGTCAATTGTTGTTAGTGGGAGGAGTTCATATTCTTAACATCAAAATTCAAACACCAGAGAGACAGATACATAGACGCTAAGGCAAAAAATGAATAATGGGTCACTTTTTTGAAAAATGCAGATTTGAAATATTAATTTTAATCGAAGTAGCCTAAGTAGCTTTGAATGTTGAAATATGATCCCTTGACTAGGTTTCACGACGTAGTAGCCCCATTAGGGTGCGTCGATATGCACGACTTTTCAGATGCAACTTTTGGATAGCACTCAAAAGTTTCGTTTTTTTGTGCTGATTCCATAAGTGACCTCGGTTTTGCGATAGGACAACTCCTTCATGACCCTACCGGGCGTTTTCTGCCAAAAAGCGGAGTTTTTGTACTTTTTCTTGTTTTTTGGTTCCACATTCCATCCTAAACTGTCGGGGCGGCTGTTGCACGGTCGGATGGTCTCCGCCTACACTAAATACAAGTTTTGCAGCTTGGCTGGACCACCGTACACCTCACATATGTGTCGCAGAGCTCAATTTTCATACTTTTTTAACCACAATTTTTTAATTTTCCCCCCTTTTTTCAGCTTTTATCGAGGATTGTACTGACCAAGTCTGTCTATACCATGACCAGAGGTTGTATAAAGGAGTGTAGGGGCACATAGAACGCAAGGCAGTCGGTGGACGGGGGCTTGCTAGGGAGGGGGAGGAGGGAGGGAGGGGAGGTAGTGGAAACAAATTCCCCAAAACGGCCCAAATCAGCTGCTCTTGCCGAGCGCCACTGTGTAATGAAAGGTCGGAAAGTGGGACATAAAATATTTTATCGTTCTAAGTGACTAGACTTAATATAGAAAGACGTATTCTAGTGAAAAAAGTGCCACAGGACCATCCATACGACACAGGGACATCATTATTGAAAGAGAAGTGGTAAAAACGCCGAATTTTTAGATCTTGACGCCCATGGCCTCTGCTGGTTGATGAATCCGCGGCTTTTCTCGACGCCAACTGGTTGAGGGGTAACAGGACAACACGTGATAACATGAGGGTCATCGAGCCAGGTGGGAACTCGAGATATTTGGCCTCAAAGTACACACTTTTCCAAAAAAAAAACAAAAATCCACCAAAAATGCTGTTTTTTGACAAATCCGAGCCCCTGGCTTCGGCTCTGCGACAATCCCGCACCTTTTATCGACGTCAACTGGTAAAGGAGTACCAGGAAAACACGTTATAACATTCGAAGCATTGACCTGAGGTTGAGAACCTCAAGCGTGTTGTTGTCGTCCCCCTCAACAAGTTCTTGCCGAGAAAAGTTGCGGATTCACCATAGGGCCTAATGCTAGGTGTCGAATTTGTCAGAAAACGGCTTTTTTGGTAGATTTTTCAGAATAATATTAATTTTAAGGCCAAATATCACTAGTTCCGCACCTGTCTCAATGCTTCTAATAATGAAACGTGTTGTCCTTGTACCCCTTTACGAGTTGACGTCGATAAAAGGTGCGGGATTGTCGCAGAGCCGAAGCCAGGGGCTCGGATTTGTCAAAAAACAGCATTTTTGGTGGATTTTTTTTTTGGAAAAGTGTGTACTTTGAGGCCAAATATCTCGAGTTCCCACCTGGCTCGATGACCCTCATGTTATCACGTGTTGTCCTGTTACTCCTCAACCAGTTGGTGTCGAGAAAAGCCGCGGATTCATCAACCAGCAGAGGCCATGGGCGTCAAGATCTAAAAATTCGGCGTTTTTACCACTTCTCTTTCAATAATGATGTCCCTGTGTCGTATGGATGGTCCTGTGGCACTTTTTTCACTAGAATACGTCTTTCTATATTAAGTCTAGTCACTTAGAACGATAAAATATTTTATGTCCCACTTTCCGACCTTTCATTACACAGTGGCGCTCGGCAAGAGCAGCTGATTTGGGCCGTTTTGGGGAATTTGTTTCCACTACCTCCCCTCCCTCCCTCCTCCCCCTCCCTAGCAAGCCCCCGTCCACCGACTGCCTTGCGTTCTATGTGCCCCTACACTCCTTTATACAACCTCTGGTCATGGTATAGACAGACTTGGTCAGTACAATCCTCGATAAAAGCTGAAAAAAGGGGGAAAAATTAAAAAATTGTGGTTAAAAAAAGTATGAAAATTGAGCTCTGGGACACATATGTGAGGTGTACGGTGGTCCAGCCAAGCTGCAAAACTTGTATTTAGTGTAGGCGGAGACCATCCGACCGTGCAACAGCCGCCCCGACAGTTTAGGATGGAATGTGGAACCAAAAAACAAGAAAAAGTACAAAAACTCCGCTTTTTGGCAGAAAACGCCCGGTAGGGTCATGAAGGAGTTGTCCTATCGCAAAACCGAGGTCATTTATGGAATCAGCACAAAAAAACGAAACTTTTGAGTGCTATCCAAAAGTTGCATCTGAAAAGTCGTGCATATCGACGCACCCTAAGCCCCATCGGTCTTCCTCGGTTACTGTGGTACGGCAGTTTAAAAAAAAAAATCTCATTCAACGAACGTTAATGAAAGCAGATGATACTCGTTTGGTTTTCTTATGCGGGGTAGTATGGGGGCTCATTCCAAAGATAGTATTTAAAATTGTGTCTGAATTAAAATACATAGACTAAATACATATAGATCCGAGCGAGCTGGCCAGTGTTGGTTGGTAGCCGTGCCGAGCTGTGGCTTGCACCGGCCGCCGCCGAGCCCGAGCCGGGCCGAATCGGGAGGCATTGTTGCGCGAAATTCCGCGCAGACTGCGAGCCTCACAGAGCCTCACGCCTCACTCACTATCCCACCCCGGCAGCCAGCCCCTATTATATTGTTAGGATACACTTTTGGTTTCTAGACTCTCGAGTAAAAGCTAGCTGACACCTTCATGTGTTTTGAATTGTTCTAGGAATGTTGAGAGGTAGTAAAGGTATCATCTGCTAAAAACAGGCTGATTTGGCCCAATTGACTCATGGAACCAATTAAGCCACGAGCCTAGTTTTTCGTTGAATTTTGAAGGTCTGTCTTTGCTGCCCGATATGTGGCGTTGTGGTCGTTGCTCAGACATTCGCGCTGCCGCATTTGAGATCGATTCGCTCACTCATGGATTTGTAGCGGCCCGTCAACAAAAATGGCTTTTAATTGATTCGTGATCCACAATTGATTTTTTACCTTATGGCGTCATCCGTTTTACATGACCATTGGTTCGTTTTCGTTCTTTTAGTGTGGTTACCGCTGTGCCTCCTCTGCTGCCCTAGATTGCCGCCACGCTCCTGCTCGAGTTGAAGAAGGCCGCGGAGCAGCACCTGCAGACGGAGGTCAGCTTGGCAGTCCTCGCCGTGCCGTCGTATTTCAACGCGTCGCAGCGCAAGGCCGTCATGGACGCAGGTACACTCCAAATATTGTGCAGTGAAGATTCTCCACATTATGGTGAAAATGTTCCATATTAAGGTGGCCCAGCTGACTTCACAACATTCCATTGAGAATTCACTGTACCTTATATTTTGACGAATTTCATCGGTATTATGGAGAAAATTTCCACCACAATATGTTGGTGCAGCCTTTCACCGTAAGACATTTACAGTGTAGGCCTCTGTGTACATTAAACACATTATCTTTAAATACAAGGACTCTGAAAGAGACCTTTTAGGATCTAACTCACTGGACCAATGTCTTTTTAAACGATGACAAAAAGAGTAAATAGTTGGGCAACGCTTTGCTGACGCAAACCAAATTCACATCCTGTTTCGACATTAATATTTTCATACATGAATTTGATAGCTTTCTGTATTATTTTCAACTTGAGTAATCAAAAGCCTGTAGTTAGTGATGTGTTTACGGGAGTGAGCTTGACTGGGATATATTTCCTGGTATCAAATAGAGTGGGGTTGCAGTTATTGCCATTTTTTGGCGAAACATTTGTTTCTCGCCAAAAAAGTGGTAAGACTTTTGTTTCTCATCAGAAGTGTGGCGACGAATTTGGTTCTCGCCACAGAATCGCAAGACTTTTTTGTCTCGCCAAATTTTGACCATCAGTCTCGCCATTCAATTTTCAGTGAAGCATGGACCACATTTTGGGTCCACGGTTACAATCGTAGAATTCCCTTTGTTCCACGATTATCAGAGTTGCTCCATTCCTGCACTTGTTCATGTACACTTCCCGAGTATCCATTTGCAAGTGTGTGCTTGCTGTGCAAGTATCTCTCTAAATCGCTACGTAGTTTTTTAATGCAATTTTGAGCACATCCGATGGTGAAACAACATTGCCATCGCCTGGCGACACATTTTGTCCAAAGCCTCCTGCGAATTGTGCTGTCTTTGAACAATGCCGCCCGCCTGACGAACGCCTCGCGGACGCCAAATTGTACCATGTCGGATGTGCTTCAAACTCGAGGGATAAATCGAGTCGCGTGAGATTCAGTGTGCATTTTTTTTTATCCGACACGTTTTGCTTCAGCTCAGGGGAAAAGCTAAATTTGTACACCAAAATTCATCAAACACGTTAAAGTCACTTTAAAAAGTTTAAAATTCATCGAAATTTGACTGAAATTCAACGAAATTCGACTGAAATTCAACGAAATTAGACTGAAATTCAACGAAATTCGACTGAAATTCAACGAAATTCGACTGAAATTCAACGAAATTCGACTGAAATTCATCAAAATTTGACTGAAATTCTTCGAAATTCGACTGAAATTCCTCGAAATTCGGCAAAATTTGACTGAAATTCATCGAAATGTGACCGAAATTTATTGGATTTGTACACTGAAATTCACAGTGATTTCCCCTTGCTCTAGCCAATCTGGCCGGCCTGCGCGTGCCGTTCATCATGAACGAAACGACGGCCGCCGCCATGGCGTACGCGCACGACCGCGACGGCGAGGAGAAGACCGTGCTGATTGTGGACGTCGGCGGTGGCGGCAGCTCGGCCGCCGTGGTCAAGGTGGCTCTGAACCAGGTGGAGGTCATGGCGCACTCCGATGTCCGCCTGCCCGGTGGCGAGGACTTCGACGACAGGATGATGCAGTACCTCACTCAGGTGCGTCTGATAAAAGTGTCTTGTATCCGCCAAACCTCTCTCGGGCGTTCTAAAGCTACTCTTTTACCAGAAATCAATTGGCGGGGCACGCTCTTCGCCACAGGTTACCCGGGTCGGGCTGCCCTCTATGGGAAGTTGCCAAAATTGTGGGTCCTTTTGTGTCTTTGGGCCACAGTTTCCTTATTTTTCAACGTATCGACCTGCGGTTTGATTCCTATGACTGGGCTTTATCTGCCCTGCTATCCCACACACTAACCGAGCATGCAGCTCAAGCATCTCCCTGTCAAAACACGCTAAAACTAGGCAAAATGTAACTTCCGTGCTGTCCATTGTCCAAAAAGTCCGTGTTCCAGGGCAAAAATCTCCTGAACTATTTGTCGGAGAGCAAATCCGCGAACAGCCTTTTGTTCCGTTGGCAATCTTTTATGACACCCTTGGATAGCAATTTATTCCAGTGATTCGCACCCCCTGCTTTATTGGATGAGAAAATGTCCACCGTGTACTGGTTTTCAAACATCGTCAACTTTAGTTTCGCGCCTCACCGCCGAACCTGTAGCGAGAAAAGTTTGGCTCAGCGTCCAGAATGAGCGGCGTGGTTTCCTCTTTCCGGCGCGGTAGGCGGATTTTCGCTGGAGGGCTCCATTCCGGCTGGCTGGACCATCAAAGGTGAAAATCCGGCATGTGTCAGGTTTGTGTGTAACATTCCGTGTCATCAATAGCAAGCGTGCTACTCGGCCTATCGATTTCGGTCCACCTGGCCATTTTGCGCTTTCACGTCTCTTAAATTTTAGGCGAGACACCTGTTCGATTTGGTGAACGGGTTGGTCCGTTTTCACGGTTTGTTTGATGATGTAACGTCCGTGCCATGCACATTTTCGGTAACTTCCGTGCCATTCCCCCATGTAAAGTATGGGGGAAAAATCAAAGTGCGAGAAAATCCTGGCCTCCACTGTTAAAAAAATTCTTAAATTTAATACAAAATGTCATCTTAATTTTAATAACCTTTTGAAAGGATATTAAAACTCATAAAGGTTTGTGAAGTTTAAGACAATTTCTTACATTTACGAAAACATTTCTGACAAGTAATGAAAATATTGGTAACTTTCAGAAACTTTATTAAAATTGAAAAACACGTTCATAAAATTTAAGATTGTTTGCCAAATGTCATAATTTGTTTCTTAAAATTCAAAATTACTATGACTTCTCATATTTGATTCTCATCCTGCCAGTTAAAATTGTGATCATTGGACGCTTCACTACCAGTGTACGTAAAGAACAAATTTGGATGATCTTGGTCATGTGAAGTCGTGTTTGGAGGCCCTGGGATGAGCGCTTCCGCTGCCTAGCGGAGTCTCCGCCGAGAGGCTTGGAGTCATCCACATCCTAGAGCCCGCCTCGCAGAGCTCACTCGTGGCGCAGTTGGTAGCGTCGCGGTGCGGTAATCCGGAATTCCGGGTTCGAGACCGAGTTTCAACCACGCTTCCAAGCAACTTCGGCAGTGAAATCGACTACTACCATACAAAGAGTATCTCATTACGCATATAAGGTGTTAAATTTTTCCCTACTCTGTATTAAATTCTTCTTAAACGCAAAAACAACTTTTAAGAAACAGATTATTACTTTTCAAATTTGTTCTTACTTTTAAGAAGAAAATGTTAATTACTTTTACTACCAAAAAGTCTTTGTAAACTGCTTCATAAAAAAGTTTCTTAAAATTAAGATGGATTTTTTTAACAGTGATCCTTCGGAAATGCGTTTAGAATGACCCCTAGAATACAGGAAAAATACTAAAAAAAATTTAGAACGAGATAATTTTTTCATTTTTTTAGGAGCCAAAAGGACCCACAATTTTGGCAACTTCCCCTATAAGAGTGGCGTTTGGCGTTTATGTTAGGGTGTATTCGTGAATTAATCTGATCATTTCAGAAATACGCGCTGAAATTCATGGAGGAAAACTCTATTACCTATCGTGTTCATGGGAACTCCGTTTAGTTCCAATCTTTTTTTCGAAAAGATTTTCGCGACTTTGGAGCAATACTTTGGTCTTCAGGGGAGGTAGAATCTATCTTTTCTCAGATATTTCAAAGAGGGCTCCTCCGCAGCAATCCTGAAATGGACGCAGGGGGACCACCTCCGAGCTTATCCGACTAACATTTTGTATAGCTCTCCCGTGATGTTATGAAAACTGAGCAGAACAATGAGAGGGTCACCTTTCCCTCATTCTTTTTCTGGTTACGAACTTTCTTTTCGTGATTTCCTGATAGTAAGGAATGCATTTTTACTCAAGTTCCGGAAATTTTTCGCCGAAAGTCAAGAGTTTGCTAGCTTTTATGGAGAGCTCCACTCAGAAATTTCGGAAAAAGCCCATGATTTGTCTATTCCTTTTCTCAGAAATTTCTGACAGGCACACAGAAGTGCATGCTTGACAAAGCTCAAACTTGCCATTCACGCTCCTTAGTGCACATGTAGAGATATGCCAAGCATGCATTTGAAAGAGTGTAAATTAAGAAGACAGTTGGGTTTATAGCGTATCCTTCGAGTTTTGATCACCGTTCTTCAAGTTTTGATTGCTGTGATTAATTTTCCTCGATCATGCTTTCAGTGCATCAAGAGAGATCTTGGAGCAGAGGCCCTGGACCCGCGGGACTGTGAGATTCTCCGAGCGCAATGGACGAAGGCCAAAGAGAAACTGTCGCGGATCCCCCAGGCGACCATCAGCATCTTCCTGCCCGGCCTGGGGAAGGAATTCCGGTGCGACGTGAAGCGGGCGGACTTCGAAGAGGAGTGCGCGGAGCACTTCAAGAGCATTACTGATGGGCTGCTGGCGACGCTGAAGCGAGCTGAGGTAAGTACGTTCTAAGGCATTTCGTTGGTGCTGTTTGTAACGCTATACTAGACTTGTGTACTTAGTGCACATCTCAAGGAGTTTACATTCTAAACTCCTGTGACTTTTTAGAAATTCATTTTTATGCACGGTAACGTACGTAAGATGTGCATGATAATAATATTGCATCATTGCGTTCATTTTATGCATCTTCTTGCATAAAATTGTACACAATTGTCCATATGATTATGCACACCTTACGCCCGTACATGCGCATGCCTAATTATGCATAAAAAAGGCCACAACAGTGCAGTGTGCACTAACAAGTACCTAGCCTGTGGAGTCATGGACCTGCCTGTCAAGTACACATCTTTAGGCGTGCACGTGCGCTATGATGTAGTACTTGGGCACGCGCAGTCCATTGATCCAGTTCAGGAGATGAAAGGAAACCGTGCTTTCTTGTACACTGGTATGGATGTGTACTTGCTTAAGTGCACGCTTCTATGGATGTGTACTTGCTTAAGTGCACTCCTATTGATGTGTACTTGCTGAAGTGCAAGCTCCTATGAATGTGTACTTGCTTAAGTGCACTCCTATGGATGTATACTTGCTTAAGTAAAGTACACTCTAAAGCTCACGTTAGACCTTGTGGTGTGGTGGTGCACTTTGTACCTGGTGGGTGGGATATATAGCTGAGCGCATGTGTTCTCTTGTCTAATTTCTCACGTTGCGTTGACTCGCAGGTGAAACCAGAGCAACTGGGCGAAGTCCTGCTGGTGGGTGGCTCCAGCCGCATCCCTCAACTGCGCAGCCTCGTGCAGGAACTGGTGAAGGGCAAGCCGCTGTGCAAAGCGGTCAACCCGGACGAGGCGGTGGCCAAGGGGGCTGCCCTCATGGCCGCCAAGCGCGTCGAGCTGAAGCAGGAGGTGCTGTCCCTGGAAACAAGAATTAGGATGGGGAATAAAGAGGTTATTGTGCCAGCAAACACCAAGCTTCCTCGCGAAATTCCTCTCGTGGAGGACGCCAACATAGAGGTATGGATTAACGCTGAGCAGCGAGGTATTTGGATTGTGGACCCTAGCTTGTTGAATTATGTCCTGGTCAAAATGGAGGTTGCTCCACTAGTTCATTTCTACACACCAAATACTGTATCATGGGACTGACTTTTTTTGTCCCCTGAATAATGCAGTTTAAAGCACATTCGTCGATAAAATTTTGTGTCTACCAGGTGACACTAATTGTACAATGAGAAAGCAAATTGCAATAGGCGTCAGACAATATGTATCACCTGGTCCTGGTGGACACAAAATTGTATCGACGGACGTGCTTAAAATTGATTGCATCAAACCACTCTAATAAATCTTGATTATTTCTTTTTACCGTGCGCAATACTCAGCCTTGTTTCAAGCAAATCACTATATTTTTCCGTGTCATTTTCTCAGATTCTTCAAAAGGTCGGACGCGGCAATGCCATGGCACGAATATTTGACAGTAGACTTCCGTCTGCTCACCTGTTAGGAATTTACCACAGTGGATTTGTCCAATTTGGGAATCGTATACAGGGAAAGATAGATTGTCGTTTAGATGGGTGTCTACCTTCAGCTGTACTTCGAAGTCTCGCCAAGAGAATGCAGAGGCGCCAGGAAAATGAGAGAATAGAATCACAGAGAGTGGAAAGTAAAAATGCTCTCGAAGACCTGCTTCGTCATGTGCGTGGCCTTGAGGTTAGTCTGTGATCGTAGGGTGATCACGGTGTATCCCCACACCGTGAGGATTACAAGCTCACTTTGTAGCACTACACACCGAATGTCTTTAAACTTTTTTGTTCCATGGATGATGCTACTTTGAGCTCATTCAATTGTGATACAAATATGTGTGCGCCAGGTGGGACAAATTGTCCAATGAAAATGCTTTTTGCCCAGGCGCATAGGGTCACCAGGCGCGAACAAAATTATGTCACCCTTGAATTTGCGTGGGACTCAATATGTCCCACACACCAAATGGGACTTTTTTTGTCCCCCATGCAATTTTAAGCACAACCGACGCTGATACAATTTTGTTCCCGTCTGGCCACACATTTTATCTGAAGCCTGCTGCAAATTTTACTTTCACTAGACAATGTGTCCCGCCTGGTGTACACAAAATTGCATCATTCATGGGACAGAAAAGTCCCATGATATTTAGTGTGCATGCTTTATAGTTTAGCTACAGTTATGTCGGTGCTCTTTGGTTAACAGATTCCAGACGACGGTTTTCGGAATGACCTGGTCGCATTGCGCGACAAGTGTGAGAAGAAACTGCAGTGGCTGAACGAATATGGCAACAGACAATTCGCTGAGTACGATAACTTGCGTACTGAAATTGCAGATGCTTTGAATGACTACAATGCCAAGCGAGAAGCTGAGAGGACGAGGGTCGAGGCGCGGGAACAACTGTGCCGAACACTGCAGGAGATACCGTCCAATGTTAAGGTGAGATATTTAAAGAAAGAGAATGTGTTTTCACGAAATAACTACAGTCTGTCTCAGGTCGGAACGAGCCTGGAGACGATCGCGTTGTTGCAGCGGTAGTGCGGCTACCTGCTATTGAGGGTCGCAGCAGCCTGTGCCGGACCCCCGCTGCGAAGGGTCTGTCCCTTTTCATTTCAGAGGTGTTGCTGCAGTTGCCGAGGGAGGAGGCAAGTGAACCTCGCCACACTCTACCAATAATGTCCTGTAAATGCCGTTAATTTATTACCAGTTTTCACTGTAGGTCAATTCACAGCGTTTACTGTGATCTGCTCACGGGATTCACTGTGATCTTGTTCGCGGTGTTCACTGTGATCTGGTCCCCAGTAAACACTGTGAGTTTGACGCCGCTGAGCACCGAAGTACTGCAAATCAGGCTCCAATTCACGGCGTTTACTGTGGCCAGATCACAGTGAACACTGTAACCAAGATCACAGTGAACGCCGTGAATTGCATAACAGCAAACATTGGTAATAAATTAACGGCGTTGACAGGACATTTTTTGTAGAGTGCAGGCTCGTTCCGACCTGAGACGGACTGCACTGCACACATTAAATGTCATCGGACTTTTTTTGCCCCATGAATGATGCAATTTTAAGCACATCCGGCGGTAATGCAATTTTGTGTACGTCAGGCGGGACAAATTGTCTTGTAAAAGTAAAATTTGCAGCAGGCGTAGTTCAAAATGTGTTGCCAGACGGGAACAAAACTGTATCAGCGTTGGATGTGCTTAAAATTGCTTAAGGGGGGACCCTGGTGAAAAAATCGCCAAAATTCCAATAAATAGTATTTTCAAAGTTCATAGATAAAAATGTGCATAGAAGGTTTCAGATTCAACAGGTTGAACACCTTTAAGCTAAAGGGGTAGTTTCTTTATCATTTGGAAGGAAATAACATTGAGATCAGTTGTCGTTGGCTTCTACGCTCAACTTCACAGCTTTGCTCAGTCGACAAAAAATTTTGTCGTAGAAAGACTTCCTGCGTTCCTGGTTGACACCTACATGAGTCGTCTTGCATGGACTCTATTCATTGATGACTTGTTGACAAATTTTAGTGATGGAATCTTGATATCAGCCCTACTTTTTTTAAAACACACCTAAAAGTTTGCAAAAAGGGAAAAAAATCACTTTTTTCTTAATGTTAAAATTTGAAAACTCATATATCTCAGGACAGAAGTTGAATTTGAAAATTCCGTCACTAAAATCTCTTCTATACATCTTTAGGATAACCCAAAAAAATTTTCAAGACTTTCCGTCCCAATGAAAGACGCAGGAAGATTTTTCCCCAACGCTCCAAAAAACACTAAAAAGCCACTTTTCTCAGAGACTGTTCAACATTTTGGATTGAATTTTGTTTTGGGAACTCACCATAATGAACCTAATAATTAAGCAAAGTTTCAACTTCCTGGGATTATTTTGAAGCCTACTTGAAAGTTTCACCAGGGTCCCCCCTTAAATCGTGGGACAATAAAAGCCCCTTGACAGTTAGTGTGCAGTAAGTAATCTTCCTTCTCTTCGAATCTGATTCGCAGGTTCTGAATGATAAGTTTGATGAGAGAGTGCTCAAGTTACACAAGCGTTGCACGGACAGGCTCGCCTGGACTCTCGACAACCCTGACGCGTCCGAAGAGGAATACATCAGATTTCGCGACAAGGTCTCAGCAGCAGCAGACGAGATTCATAGCGATAGACAGCGGCACGCTGCAGACCTACGCAAGGCGGAAGTGAGGAAGACGTTCGAGTCGAGGGTCCAGACAACTTTACAGTCCACTAACATCAAGGTACGCAACACAGACTATGTCACTCAGTGGCGTGCACTGTAAAAAGATTAGGAAGCTAGGAAGAAAATGAAGGCATTGTAGAATTGCTTCGTATTATGAAGAAGTGCATCATATTACGGAGGAGTTGGCATCATAATACGAAGCATTTCTCATTGAACTGTACAATGACTTCGTTTTCTTCGTATTATGAAGCGATCTTTCGTAGGCATTTTACTGCGACACAATAAAATTCGCAACGATTATCGTCTTATTTTAGGTTTGGTTATCTCATATCGTGTGTTCACTTCCGCTTATCTTTCAAATCGTTCATAGTCGAACATTTAATCGGCAAAACGGTGACGACTCCAATTTTGGTCGAATCTGAACTCTTGTTGATCGAAATGAAGTAGTGGTATGGTAACCAGACCATCAGTGATGGCTGTTCGGACCATGATTTAGTAGGTCTGGAGTCACGGAGTGCTCAAAAGTACCTGAAAATACCTACTACATGAAGTAAACCACAGGACACACACTTCTTTCATACCCGTCGTGGTGCGTGCCGCACTCCAAATAGTTTTGAGCAACTTCCGAAGTGGGGGGGGGGGGGCCTCGCCACGGCACGGAGTGCTCAAATGTGCCGTGCTGCTACCCCCTGGTGTTTGCACAGACGAGTTCAAAGAGTTGTTCTCGTGGTAAGACAACTAGCAACTTACCTGGCACTGATGAAACAAAGGCCATATTAGTATGCTCTTGAAGGGCATTAACGAACTTGCGCCACTGGAACGGCGTGAACCGGTTTATGCCTTTGGAAGGGCATTAAAATGTTGCTTGAAAGTCCTTAACCCATTCACGCCCTTTCAGAGGGCATTAAACGATTTACGTCCTGAAGGGTGTAGTTTTTATGACTTTTTTGTTTTTCAAGTGTCGTCCTCGTCGAGTGGAACGCACTAAATTCTTGGGGACTTTCAATTGCATAATTATTCACTTTTCATGCAATCGTGCATGCACACATACGTACGTAAGGTGTCTAATATTATGCATTACGGTGTACAATTTAGGCATCTTCCTGCTTAAAATGCACACAGTGATGCAAAATATCATACACGTCTTACGCACGTATCTGTGAATGCACAGTTATGCCCAAAAAATTTCAAAGAATATAGTGTGAAGGGTCCATTGACTCGTGTATTTTGATCGGCGTGAATTGTTGCCCATCCGCAGGTGCTTGATCCCTGCACGCGGGATCATTCTTGTGTGACTTATCTGTGTGCAGTGTTGTCTACTGTTGCGAACTTATGTTTTGTGAAACGTTTGCAGGAAGGACCCAACAATGCCCTCTACAAGTCCTACTGCCAAGATATAGAGGAACTGTGCCGAGACGCATTAGGATGGCTGCGTAGCAGTAGGGGTTCCCTTGCTGACGAGAGAGAACTATCAGATCGGCTCCGCGTATTTGAAACGGAGGCAGCGGGAATCCATCGCAACTACGGTGAACAAGTGGCGGCGGAACAAAGGCGAGCCGAAGCTTTCCGAGCTGCCGAACAGAAGGTTCTCCAGGCGCTTAATCTTAAGGTAAAATTCGCAGAACGGTCTCAGGTCCACGGTAAACACGGAACCTGGTTTTCCCAGGAAGCCAATGGTGAAGGCATAGGCGATTTCCAGGGAGTTCCTGGGAAAACCAGGAACCGTTTTTACCGTGTCCACACTTCTTTCTACAATTTTTTTGCGTGGCCTCAAATGATTTTGTGCCGAGGGGGAAACAACTTGAATTTTGGTGTACGTTTCTTTTGACGTTATGTAAAATATCGTTGAAATAAGCTTCAAAAACCGTTGGAATAACGTGAAATAAGGAAAACCAATGTGAAATAGCGTTGAAATGGACTTGAAATAACGTTGAAATAGCGTGTAATAACGTGAATTTGGAATAACGGTGTTCAAATTTTTTCGAAGTTGTTTGCCCCTTGTTGTGTGTGCATGTGCAATTTTTCGCAAAAATTTGTACTCCGGAAGGTTTAGATTCGCGCGAATGTCTTATTAATTTGTGTCAAAATTACCCATGTGCACTAGGCCGCATCAAAAAAAAAAAATGTTTTTTGACTCGAACGGGGTTATTTTGAAAGATCATGTCCTAGTACGACTACCCACCAAATTTGCTCCTACGGATTTGTTGGATTTGTTCTTCGCGCGCATGCAGCGGTAGACGTGTACTAGGGTCTGCATACAGTAACGAGGCCAAGAACGTCTAGACTTGCAAGCTTGCCCAGGACACATCTGTTGGTGCATGCCAGCTTACACACACACACACACACTCACACTCAAAAGCTTGCAATGAAAAGGACTTTGCAGTACAAAGTATTTTCCAGCTTTGTATTACAAACTCCCTTGCGAACTATTTTCTTCGCATTGCAAAGAAATAGTTCGTAAGTTGCGAAGAAAAAAGTTTCCAACGTTGCGAAGCATCGTTTTGCAACGTTGCAAACCATTTTCTTTGCAAGTTGCAAAGTAATACTTCACAATGAATTAGCCGTAAATGAGCTTACTCACGTTGAAACGAATATGAATCCACGGGGAAAACGGAACCTGGTTTTCCCAGGAACTCCCTGGAAATCGCCTATGTCGCTACCATAGGCTTCCTGGGAAACCCCGGTTCCGCTTTCACCGTGTAACGCTTAAAGGAACGTAACAATTTGTCTCGTTAGTTCCAACGTGATGTCACGTTCTTGGAATGGTAGTGCATGCGGTGAAATTAATCTCAGTCCACGTTCCAGGTTCTGGAGGGGCACCCCTGCTACGAGGAGGCTGAGGCCTTGAAGAAATCTTCCCGGAAGCATTTGAGTTTGCTAAAGCACGAATCAGACCTTTCTACAGAAATGTTGGAGAAACTGATTGAGTCTATCGACACTGGATTCGCGACATTGGAACAAAAGAGGGTTGAGGAGGAGCAGAAGTTGATGAATTGGATACTAACCTTGGAGCAAGAGCTGACGGATGGTTTGCAGGTAAGCGTGAAAGTGTGAATTCGTTCAACGCCTGTCACAAAATTTTGTCACTAAAAGTCCAACATAGTCTTTGGGCACATCCATAATCGTGCCATAAGCCTTAGCATATAGCGAATGAAATCTTAGTTTAGGGTAGTAGGAGCGATGCTTCTAAAGCGAGAGTTGGATGTTTTAAAACGTTGTATTCGACATAAAATAAATTGCTTTTCAGCATGCACCCACAGACTTGTCCTTAGCAAGCGTGCACCTGTACACTGTGGCTAAAAGCCACGGAAAATTATGTAAACAGCTTGAGGTAGTTCTCCGTAGCCCCCTTGTCAGTATTCTCTGTAGGCTCTTACAGTATTTTCCGTAGGACCGCACAGTGTTCTCCCTAGTACCTTACAGTGTTCTCCGTAGGACTATACAGTGTTCCAGGCCCTACGGAGAAGTCTGTGCTGTCCTACGGAGAATGCTGTACGGCCCTACGGAGAATACTGTAAGAGATTACGGAGAGGCAAAAAAATTAACAGAATTTCCCGTACCTTTTTACCACAGTGTAGATTTGTTCTTCAGTCCGAGACCAAATTGCGAGTGAAGGACACGTTTACAGTTTTAAGCCTGTGTACAGTGCTACAGCGTGCACACTTGGAAGCCTACAAAGAACTACTCGTTGTAATACAAAGAAAACGGAGGCTTCGTGGCCTACGAAGAATATCGTTCGTAATACAAACCATTTTGTTTGCAATTCAAAGAAAAAAATCCTTCGCAGGCTGCGAAGAAGTTCTTCCACTGCAAGGAAAAGTGTGGATAGTACATCAAAAGTACAACAAAACTGAACAATAAAAGTACAACAGGGATTGTAGAAAGTACAACGAGAATTGTACAAACCATAACCAGCCCTGGACTGCACAGCACTCGTCATGCCGGTTCCGTTGTACTTTGTACAACAATTGTTGTACTTGAAAAGTACACTAAATTCCTGATAAAAAAATTTGCCAGATAAATTTGTGTACTTTTGTTGTGGTTATTTTCTGCAGTGTCGTCCGCTACAAAGGCTTTGTATGTATTACAAACAAAATTGTTTGTATTACGAACGATTTTCTTCGTGCTGCGAAGCCTTCGTTTTCTTTCCATTACAACGAGTAGTTCTTTGTAGGAATTTATCTGTGTGAGTACTCACCGCGTTTTTCTTTTTTGGCAGGAGTTCGACAACGACCCACTGCTTGTCCAATTGGAAAAGTGTTGTCGTAGACAACTGATGGAACGCCAGCCCCGCCCGTCCTTGCAGGTCATAGGCCATGCTTTGTATGCGGTGAGAAATGTCCTCGGCCATCTGAGGCAGTACCGTGACAGCCAGCAGAAACGGCAGGAAGCGGCCAGTGGGGCTGAAGCTGCCTACCACGAGGCCTATGCTGTCGGGTCGAAGCTATTGTCATATTTGGGCTTTCCCGTGCTGCGGCCACCGCAGCCCGCTAGACAGAGTCTGTGCAGCAGGGTGACTTGGACTCCGGGCGTCTCGACGAGCAGCTCCGAGCAGGCCCAGTCCCAATTTGGCGACCCAGAGCAGCCACTGCCGCCGCCGCCTCAGCCCGCTGCCAAGGCTGTGTCCAGCCACGCGGTGTGGATTGTCAACGAGCGAGCCCAGTCCCAGTACCAACCAATGGACTTCACCAGCGGTGACCTTGGGGCGGACAAAATGGAGGTGGATAGTGGTAAGGAACCCCAACCGTTACGTTACACTGCAGAGCCAACGGTAAGTTTCCTTGCATCAAAGTTGGCAAGCCGCTTTGAATGCCAAAATTTGGCAAGCTTGGCCTGCGAAAACTCCCCAGCTTCCCTTAATTTGGCTAGCTTATGAAGATTTCAGGTCGAAGCTTGCCAAATCTTGGCAGTCCATAAACGGCCTGCCAAATTTGTGGCAGGCAAACTTACAATTGGCTTTGCAGTTTATTTTTGGTACAAAATCTTGCCACAGGTGTGTTGCAAGCTTGCGAAGAATTTGAATCGTTCGCATTTCAAAGAACGCATCTATTTTGCAAATTACTGTGTAGTTTGCAACGTACATACACGTGCTTCGCAATTTGTGAACTACCAGTTCGTGTAATGAACCCTTGACAACACATTTGTCGCATATTACGGTCCACCCGGTCCACCAGTTCGTTTAATCAAGTTAAATTCTTCGCAAGCAGCGAACCGAATACTAGTTCGTAATCGGAACACATTCCTCGCAAGGTTCTCAAAGTACAGACCGTATCGCCACAACCGTCAGTGTGATAAGGGCACTGATCCAAGTAGATCAATTATTTGTACATAAATTAGGTACAGCTTTATAAGAACTTTAGGACAATATGGAAGTATTGTCCCAAACTTTTGTATTACACTGGTAAATATGGCAATAGTTGTGGACAATTAAAAGTTCGTAAAATTAGGTCTGTACGTGAGATCCTTTCGGAGACCACGGCGAACCGGAATGGAAGGTCCGTGCTTTTTCTGCTCCTAAGTTCCTGCAAACTTTCCATACCAAACAGTTTTTTTTGCAGTGGACAGTTGGGTTTGTTGAGTGCGACTCATAACTGCCTTTTGAACAGTGTGCCTTACCGTGCCGTTTGCCTTCCAGAAGGACTAGTTCATGAACGCGCCAATGGCCACATCAGGGGACTGGAGAACGCGCATATGTCCAACGCGGAGACTCCGCGGGAACGTCCGGGGTGTGGGCAGTCCGAACCATGCAACGGGACGAAGCAATCTACTCGCCTCCCTCATGTACGCACGGATATTGGACCCTGCTTGCCTCCATATTCTAGTACGAAAACCTTTTTTTTTTTACTCGTTCTTTACACACCACTCACTAACATACAAAACTCTTTGTGAAGAGAACGAGTATTGTGTTCAAAAATGAGTTTTGGGGGGACATCTTTCATCTCAGATCTCACAGCATGTGGGAAAATGAGAGTGGTATCAAATGAAAGATGGAGTGTCAGTCGCTTGATCGTAAATGAAGTTTTTTTTTACTTGCAATGAGAAATATTGAGAAAATGAACATGAAAGAGAGACGTTTTTAGCGCACTATGTGAAACTAACCTCTTTTCACGTGTCTGTATCTTTTGATGTTGAACGCCACTGAAACGCAAAGTACAACAACAATGACACGAGATCTTTGGTCAACAAAAATCTAGGAGGGTTTTTTGCAAGTGACAATGGATAATTTTGAGAAATTTGGTAATAACGAAACATTGTTTGACCCTAACCATGATACATGTCTCAGAACTGCAAGCTGTGTCATCTTAATGAATTTCTTTTTGATGGTGTTGCATGTCTTATGTTCGAGATGAGAGATGAAAAAATAAGTTTCATTTGACTGTTTTCTAAAATAAATGTGTCTTTCTGAGGGTTTTGGTCATGGAAAAAGCAGGTTTTTGGCACGGACTCACGGACTCTAGTGTAAATTCGATTATGCACGAGAATCGATATCCCGAGATATCGCGATGCATCGATGTTCCCTGCCTGAGAGGAGAACCAACCGGAAGCGTTCGTTAAAAGGCAAAATTACAAATCGTCTGAGGAGAATTCATGTAACGATCAGCGACTGACACATCAATCTAGCTTTGTAAAGAACGAGTCCCTCCCTTGTGATATCAATTCTTTGATGTCTTTCCTTCTTGTTTTTTTTTTGCCGGTGTGATTAGTTTACGACACCAAATTGTAGGTGACAAACGTTTGAATGTGAACAAGCTGGTTTCTGGCCAATTCACACCCAAACGAATGTGACACAACGCTCAACGTGATGTCACGTTCCTGGAATGAGAGTGTCGTCGCCCTCCCAACTTCTCTAAGCACCCGTTTTCTTCTGCGCAGACGAAGGTGCAGTCTGCGGCCGACGACTTGGCACGGGCGGCGCTAGAAGAAGCGCGCACGGCGGGCTGCATGGCGCTGATCGTGGACCGCGAGGACGAGGCCGGGCGCGACCTTCTGTCGCTGTCAGTGCGCCTTGTCCGGGACTCCGGGGACGCGGTCGAACTCCCGGTGCTGGTGCGGGACGCCAGGTGAGACCTCCCTCCCCTCTCCTATGATCTAACAGTGGGCACACTGAGAATCCAAACGCGATGAGTATAGCGTCAATTGGTGCAATGCAAAAGCATTTGCACATGAAGTGCAATGCCTCCCCATTCCCATGCATTAGCATAGGGTCTTTTCGGGACGCATCGCACGTAAGGTGCGATACGGCTATGGCATCGCACTGGCATCGCACGTATGGTGCGATAGCTGCATTGCACCATACGTGCTATACTCATAGCGTTTGGAATCTCAGTGCACGCTACATGTGTATGCACTTTTATGTCCGTAGCTATTGACGTGCACACTAAAATTATTAGTACAATTTTGTTCGTGATGTGAAATTTTTGGTAGGCAGAATCGCACGGATTCCATTGCTCACATAAATTTTCTACGTAAAGTGCGCATGCGGTAAATCGAGTGAAACCACTTTCTAAAAGCGTACGAAAGAATTTAGTGTGTACTGACGTCTAAAGCTTTCTACAATTTAAGATAAATTAGGGACTATGTTTCCGCATTGTTCTTAAGTTATTTTAAAATTTATATACAAATTTGAACGTAACTACTCTCACCTGCAAAACTACGTCATGCGAATGTTCAAAATGTTTATGTCGCTTCGACTTTACTGTAAAACTTTATACTGTTGGTAACTGAAGAAAAAGTACCCAGCTAACTAGTTTAATGGTTTAAACCCGTTCTAACCTGCAAGTGCCACTTGCGGGATCATTTTACGGAGCCAGTTCTTGCTGCTCTTAAGTCAGTGCTACTGTTAAGTTCTACACACTCATTCCAGGAACGTGACATCACGTTGAAACGAATGTGACAACGTGTCACGTTTACTTGGGCATTGTGTCACGTTCGTTTCAACGCGTATAAAGCTAATTTATGGCTAATTCGCGTCCAAACGAACGTGACACAATGCTCAAAGGAACGTGACATTTTGTCACATTCATTTTTACATGATATCACGTTCCTGGGATGAGAGTGTAGTGCTGCGTATTTTTAGCTCCACCTAACCTCTGTTTCCTGTGTCCAGGAGCTTTAATGGATCCCCAGACGAACTCGTCCGTGACACTTGGGCACGTTTCGAAGAGCTGTGTCGAAGTGTGTCTTTGGATCTGGGAAGCTGCCTGGAGTTCCTGAGTGCGAGCAACTGCAGCCCCTTTGGTCCAGCCTTCGTGAAACTCTGCAAGGATAGGGCGCGGGAAGATGTCGTGGTTTTGACCAGCACCTCTGTTCCCCTGGACGAGAGAGTGGTCATTGCCTGCTACGAGCGGTCCATCCCCAAGTCCTCACGTGCGGAAATCGACGAGCTAGTGAAATTTTTCTCTGAAGTGAACAGTTGGCGGCAGACACCAGCCCGTGGCTGCAAGACATGTTTGGTGGGGCTTCATGGATGCTGCTGCAGCCACCCTTGGCGCACATACTCGTCTTCCGTCGCGTTTCTCATGCGGAATCGGGAAAAGTTAGCAAGTACTCCGGAAGTGCTTTTACAATGTGCCCCCGATGTGTTGCTGGACATGAAGCAATTAATGAAAGAGACTAATTTTCTTGTTTGTTTGGCTGCATTCGGTGAAGTGTTCTCTGAAATCCACAAGGTTTCACAGTTGGTGGTGGATTTCGATATGGACTTCAGTGAGTACTGGACTGGTCTCAGTGACTGTAAGAGGGCATTCTCATCCAATTCATTCACGGCTCAAGTCAAAACTGCCGCTGACAAAGTCACATCAAAGAATGAAAGCCTCCGTTCACTAGTGCGAGCCATCATTGAAGTCGCGCACACTGTGGTGTGTGCAGCGAGGACGGACTTCAAGTTCTGCAACGAAATCCTACAATGCTTGGTCTCTGAAGATAACCACCCTCGTGGCCACAGTAGCAAACAAGTCTCTTCAGAATTGGTGTCGTTCAAGAGGCAACATTCCCGCGCCATTTCGGCCTCTCCGCAGCGCGTCTTGAGCAGGGTGAACCGGTCGGAGTTTGAGAAGGATTACCCAGCCTTGTACAAGACCGTGCTGCGCGCGCTGACAGCGCCGCTTCTGCCGCCCATGGGTCCCCGCTCCGACGAGCAGCTCCGGGTGGGTGCCCGCCGCACCACCCGCACCCGGGCGGACCAGGTGGAGGCCGCCGTGCTGGTGGCAGCCAGGACGCCGGAGGGCGTGGATCTGTCGTTCGATTTTCAATCGTAATTGTGCAAGTTTCCTTTGTCACCGGGTTTGATACAAGTTTTCATTGTGATGAGAAACGTGCTGATGTTCCTTGAATGTGGATTCCAAATCCTTCTGTTAAACACAGCTAGCTATTTTAATTGTTATTTCCGTATTGTGGTCGAGACAACTCACTTGCCATCGTGGCCCATGTCGTTCCGATCTCTCAGATTCATTCACCAAAGTTTCATTGAAATTATTCTTACTTGTTCATGATAATTTGTTTGCATGAAATATATTTGCTTTTTTTTTTGTCTTATTGTGTCGAGAGTGAAATTGCAATTGTTCTAGGTTTAAGTTTAAGGCCTTCTTTCTCAAAGGTGCGAATAAAACAGTCAACGGATGAAGTTTTCCTATAACTTGTTGAGTGTTTCAACTTCAATTTGCCTCCTCCCATTCCTTTTTCCATAAAAAAAAAACCTGTAACTTAAATGATAAGACATGCCTCGGAAAGGAACAACGTGGCATTTAACATGAGTTATGCCAATACTAAAACCCAATACACAAAGTACACACTTACAAATGCATTATTTAAAATTTATTTATTTCACTTCAAGAACAATTCTTAGTAAAATGTAACAACATACGAATCATTAAAGATGTTTCTTGCCATGCTCGCCCGGGTGGAAAGATCTGTAATTTGTTCTGTACTTGAAAAGTGCAACGTTAGTTTTCCCTCACTGAAAAACCAAACGTGGTCCAGACCGCACCACTGGTGTGGTCAGATGGATGACATTTTGACCACATCAGTTGGTGTGGTCTAGACCACGTTTGGTGCGGTCTAGACCACGTTTGGCCACGTTTGGTGTGGTCTAGACCACACCAAACGCCCCAAACGTGGTCTAGACCACACCAACTGATGCGGTCAAAATGGCATCCATTTGACCACACCAGTTGGTGCGGTCTAGACCACGTTTGGTTTTTCAGTGCTGCAAACAGGTTTTTGGTTCTCCTGGAAAATGATAAAAATGGAATTATCCCCTTCCGCTTCATGGATCAAGTGGGGTCCCGACCTTGGGTTTGGTAACCGCTGCCAAGTTACCATAGAAGACGCATCATTCGGAACTATCACGGAACCGTCGAAATTGCCGAAAAGAAGGTTCCTCGGAGGCCCCAGTGCACTGGCCGCCACGACGAGCACCTTGGCACTCGCCAGTCCAATGAACTGATCAGTCGCAGTTACGTTGATGCGCGAGCGACTCCTTAGTCCTCACCCCAGTAACACTAGGCCTCACTTCGGACGTGGCCGCATGTAAACGCGCGTAACAGCAACCGTAACGTCAATGTAGTTCGCTCTAACTACACTCCCAATTGAAACACAGCTTTTTCTTCGAAACTCGAACAAAAAGCTTGACTGCGCAGCGAAGGTAGTAGCTTATGGTGAAGAGTAGTTCTCAGTAACTTATGTCCAATGTCTTATTACATATTATGATCGAATTTCTCCGTACTATGATAGATTTGTGTCGTATAGTACTGAGAATTATGACTGCACAGCATTTCCCAGTAGAAAAATGGGATTGTAAAAGAAAGCCAATGCGCCGTGCCCTGGCCTATCTACCGCACAGCGGGTCTACAAAAATGTTTTCGATGTGTCCCCAAAGTTCTCATGGTAAAAACGGCTCCTGGTTTTCCCCGGAACTCCCTGGAAATCGCCTATGCCTTAACCATTGGCTTCCTGGGAAAATCAGGCTCTGTTTTTACCGTGCTTTTACTCTGTTGAGACTGAGCCTATATTGTGGCTGTGTCTTGGCAGTGTCTTACAAGCGTTACTTGCCACCTTCCGAAGCTGTTATCTGAAATTGCGCACGGGAATTTATTCTTAGTTCGATGAGAAATGGGAAGTGTGGTAGAAGTACGGAGGTTCCGTCAAAAAGCAGCGCAATGCGTCCTCTCCCTTAAGTACCTGAAAGAGGAAAAAGCAATTCGATAAGCTCGTGGAGTCACTGGCATCTTAGTGTGCAATAACTCGCTTCGCACGCCGGGGACGCTTACGCCTCACCATCAACAATAATCTATTCCCGATAAGAGCGCTGACGTGGGAACAACATTCGCTCTAGAGTACACACTCTAAATGTCTTACAATGAAATTTGACCAATATTATTCGTATGTTACAGTGAATTCGCTGCAAGCATAATACGAAGCAATATTCCTTCGTAATACGAATCTTTTTAGCTTTTTTATTGTAAGATACAAAGAAAAACCTTCGTAATACGAAGAAAAACCACCTTCGTATTATGCTTGCGCCATTTCCTTCGTAATATGGGAAATTTCTTCGTAAGACATTTAGAGTGCATCAGCGGAACATTAGCGAAATCCGAAAACCGGCTAGAGGTTTCGCCTTCGCTCACTCCACAAACTGAAGAGTGAGCATATCAATGCTCCAGGTTGAAGCACGCGTACGTCACACTCCACAAAATGAATGTCCCTCGTAGTACAATTTTTGCACGTGTCCTCACATAATTTTGCGCAAGCGTCCATTTCGTAAAAATTTGTACAATGTCTACTGTGCACCTGGAGCATCAGTGACTCACACATTTCGAGCCCAAACCCAACACAAGAGTTTTGTTCGTCTCGTCGGGATAAATCCATGTACTAACTGGTTTACCTTTAACACATTCGCTGCGACGGGGTTTTGGGCGGAAAAGCCTAGACTGCGAAGGCCTCCCCAGAGAAAACTATTGACCGCACAAAGCTCGGACACATACCATTCGACTTCTCATAGGGTCAAAACGCCAACGAGCGAATAAAAAAAATACGACCACGGGTGTTCTCGTATCGCAGTATGGGACATTCCGCCAGTGCGCGGCGCCCAGACTGCGATACGAGAACGCGCGTGGTCGTATGAGCAAATTTCTCTTCTGGCCAAAACGGGGAAACAGGAACAGGTAGGAAAGAGCGACCAAATTTGTTTTGACCTGCTAGGTCTTCCGAAAATTTTGGTTTTCGTTTCGACGTCCTGCGACCATTTTCGTACGAGAACGCGTGTTCTCGTACCGCATTTTAGCCAAACGGCAGTTACGAGAACGGCGTTCTCGTATCGCAGGAAGCGCCATGGCCAAAAATTAATTCTTCGCCAACGCACCAAAGACAGGCAACATTGCGAGACGCCGGAGAAAATTTTGCCCAGGCGCATCCTGCGATACGAGAACACCGTTCTCGTAACTGCCGTTTGGCCAAAATGCGATACGAGAACACCGTTCTCGTACGAAAATGGTCGTAGGACGTGGAAACAACAGCCGAAATTTTCACGAGACCTTGTAGGTCAAAATTTTTTTGGTCTCACTTCCCTATCTATGCCCGTTTCCTCGTTCTGGCCAGAACAAAAATTTGGCAAAATACGAGGCGGCATGTTCTCGTACCGCAGTTTTGGCCCGCCCGATACGAGAACGCGTGTTCTCGTATCGCAGCGAACGTGTTAACAAGGTTCTTTTGGGGGGTCCGGGATGAACTGTCGCGAAGAGCACACCGTATCCCGTGCCCGAAAGTACAGTTAAAGCGAAGTGTAAAAGAACGGGATTCACTCAGTTTTTTTCTGAAGTGCTCATATATCACTCCACTATCACTCCGAAGCACCGAGGACCGGGGGATAAGAAGCATTTTAAGAGCGGACGCTTTGTAGGACCCGCCAGTTGGATAGCGCCCAGGCCATCATGAACCTGTCCGTCGTGTTCTTGGTCTCCGTGGCCGCGGCGGCGGTAAGTTTGCTTCCCTCTACGGGCACGCTGGTGTGGTCCATTCCATGGTCCAGGAGGGATCCTGGTAACAACAAGGCCAAATTGGGCAAGAACATTTTTTTAAAAAAATGTTTGAAGCCTAAAATGTGCATGGTAAGATTCAGATTGAGGGGTTTCAACCTCAAAGTTAAGTGGAGATTCTTGATCATTTGAAAAGAAAAGGTCAGTTGTGTCATAAGCTAAAACGCTTCACTGCACTGCCATATTTGACCGACAACAAAATTTATTCTTTGAGAACTCACCTACTTCGCTTAAAAATGGCCAAAGTTTTAATTTTGGGGTTTTTCTTTAAAGCTTTACTTGCAAGTGTCACCAAGGATCCCCCTGAACGTCGGTGTGCGCTTCACACAAAGCTCTTGCGGTTAAAAAAAAAAAACAAAAAAAAAAAACGCAGTTGCACTTTTTATGCATAGCTATATGCATGCATAGATATGTACGTAAGGTGTGTATAAAAATGCACTGGTAAAACTAAGGCGTACTATTATGCCCTTCGTGAAGCGTACAGCCAGTACGCCCTTCTTCAAGCGTACAAGAGTTCATGCGCTCCTTTCTTCCTATCTAAATGCATGGGGGAATTGCCTTGAAGCGTAGTTGTACGCTTGAAGAAGGGCGTACAGTCTTGAAGCGTAGTTGTACGCTTGAATGAAGCGTACAACTACGCTTTAGTTTTACCAGTGTGTGCATCACTGTGTGCATTAATGCATCTTCCTGCATACATGTGCTTACATAAATAATTATGCATTAAAAAGCCCACGACAATTTAGTGTATTCAAGGAGCACTCTCAAAAGCCTACTAAGCGTTTGCTTTGTAACTACGAAGAAAATGAAGGCTTTGTAGAATTGCTTCGTATTATGAAGAAACGCCTCGGGTTACGAAGGATTTTGCTTCACAATACGAAGCATGAATTCGTAGATTTTACAATGCCTTCATTTTCTTCGTATTCCGAAGCGATTCTTCGTAGAGTTTTCACTGTGAGGGCGCAGGTCAAAAGGTAGTTGTATGCTTGAACGAAGCGTAGACGCTTTAGTTTCGCACCAGTGCTTTTGTCTCGTTTCCGACGAGGCCTCGTTGACGGCCAGCTCGCTCTGCAGGTGGTGGAGGGCGCCATCACCGCCGCGCCCCGCACGCTGCGGCGCAACGGGCAGCCCCTGTCGGCCGCCGCCCCGAGGGACGACTGCCGGGGCCAGACCCGCCGCTGCACCGACTGCAGCACGCTGCTGGTGTGCGCCACCATCGGCACCGTGCTGGTGCCCCTGCAGTCGCTGGCCTGCCCCGCCGCCACGCCCTACTGCTCCGGCGGCGCGTGCGTGGCCAGCATCCAGGCAAGGGGAAATAACTCCAGTCAAATTTGTACACCAAAATTCATCAAACTTAGAAAATTTACTAAAATTCATGAAAATTCATCGAAATTTGACTGAAATTCATCGAATTCCGGCCGAAATTTATCGAATTTCGACCGAAACTCATCGAATTTTCACTGAAATTCGCCGAATTTTGACTGAAATTCATCGAATTTTGATTAATTGTCATCGAAATTCGACTGAAATTCATTGGATTTGTACACCGAAACTCACAGTGATTTCCCGTTGCATCCAGGACAGCGGCTGCAGCGCGCCGCCGGCCGCCGACCCCGCCTTCACCTGCACCGGCAACGGCTACTTCCCGTCGCCCTCCGACTGCGCCAAGTACTACCTGTGCGCCGACGGCCTCGCCTACGAGTACGACTGCAGCGCGTACCCCGGCACGGTCTACAGCCACGAGAAGGCCCTCTGCGTGCCCAGGTACGGCTCTGTCCAAGGTCCTGGCCCTGGCACACTACTAATTCAACTGCATAGGGCAAGTTCACGCTCGCTCAGCCTCCTATTGCCTTTTCCTCTCTTGCTGGTAAAGTATTTTAAACAGACGTTGGATGTACTATCTTCTCTTGCGCTAATTTTGATCGTTTTATAGATATAATTGTTAATATGTCACGTACATATCAAGAACTTCATTTTCAGAGCACTAGTTGGAAAAAAGATGAATCTAAAGATGTGTCAAAGCAATAGACTCTGCGCAGACCTCAGGTCCACTCTCCCAATTCCCCCTCATTTTGGAGAGCTGAGTGGATATGGGCCCATAGTCCATTGTAACGTGAATATTTAAGTCACAGAAACCACTTACCACGTGATTTTACTTTTTCGAAAATTTTCAATTATATCTTATGCTTTGTTGAAAAGTATGTATTTGCGACATTCATTTGTTTAGTTTTGGTTCTCCCTGCAAATAGTTGTACGTTTCTCCTCACTGTGGCAAAAAGGTACGGAAAATTCTGTTAATTTTTTTGCCAGGATTCTCCGTAGCCCTCTTATCAATATTCTCCGTAGGCTCTTACAGTTATTCTCCGTAAGGCCGTACAGTTTTCTCTGTAAGTCCGCACAGTCTTCTCCGTATGGCCTGGAAGACTGTATAGTCCTACGGAGATCACTGTAAGGTCCTACGGAGAATACTGTGCGGTCCTACGGAAAATACTGTAAGAGCCTACGGAGAATATTGATAAGAGGGCTACGGAGAATTACCACAAGCTGTTTACAGAATTTTCCGTAGCTTTTTGCCACAGTGCTGAAAACAGTAAGAAAATGGAGTTATCCCCTTCCTCCGCTTCACGGATCATTCACTCTCTCTGCCGTACGAATAAGTAGGGCTACATTATCCATAATACGAAGGAAATGGCGTAAGCATAGTACGAACACTGAGAATGAATTGGTCACCACCATCACCCTTTAAATGGGTGATGGAACTTCGTTGCCCAAATTTTGGTGACGAAAAATCCATCACCCCAAATTTGGTAACAGGCGTTTGGTCGCCCAAATTTGGGTAACGCCGTCCGTCGACGACGCCGTGAGGTTCCCGGGATGACGTCCTTCCGGGGCCACCACGATGATCGGAGGCCTCAACGCCACATTGGGTCATCGTGGTGGCCCCGGAAGAGCGTCATCGGGGTCCTTACGGCGTCGCCGACGACGTTACCCAAATTTGGGCGATGATTTTATGACTGCCCAAAATTTGGTCACCACGGGCTTGTCACCCAAATTTGGGCAACGGTGCGTGCGTTACCCAATGAAAGGGCGATGGTGGTGACTCTTTCATTCTCAGTGAAGGTAGTTTTTCCACGTATTACGAAGGATTTTCTTTGTATCGTACAATGCAAATGCCAAAAAGAATCGTATTATGAAGACATATTGATGGTGCTTCCACCGTTGCGCCGAATTCACTGTAACATAGGGTCAGTTGGGGTAATTATTGGACACGGGGTTAAAAATGAGACAGCTGATTCTTAGTCAAGGATTGCCATTTTTGAACGCATGACATACCAAATGTGATGTTTTTATTGAGAAAATAGCATTTGCTACGGCACAAGTTCTAAAATCTCGATTCTTGACTAAGAGTCGGCCCCGTGTCCCCCTAATAGGGTACTTTCGTAGAATGCTGAACCGGAAGCAAGCAGACCTGCAGACGCCAAATTGGCCGGAAACTAACCTCTCTTCGGATCCAAAACTATAGCCGAGCTGTACAAATATTGCTCGCGAAACACATATGCACTGCAAACAAGTATCAAACGACTGTTTATGTTCAAGTGTGGCCGATACCTTTGACGAACGTCTCTTTCCCATGTCAAGTTTGGATCTACTTCCACCAACATGGCGTCTGTGTGCTTCCGGTTCAGGGATCTACGAAAGTACCCTATTACCCGAAGTGACCCTAGCTGGGATTTCATGAGACATCCAGAGTGATTTGTCGCCTTCCCCGCGATGCCCGCAGCGCGGAGGCGGTGTGCGCCCCGGCCGTGTGCAACAGCAGCACCTTGCTGGTGTACCAGCGGTGGCCGGGCGGCGCGAGCGTCTTCTTCCTGTGCGTGGACGAGCGGCCCGAGCACGCCTACGTGGCGGACTGCGGCGCCGACAGCGCCATCTCGCCGGACGGCGTGTGCAGCCTGGCCTGCCTGCGCGAGGGCCGCCTGCCCGACGCCTCCAGGCCGCAGGGCTACTTCGAGTGCGTGCGGACGGCCGGCGGCTTCGGCAGCCCCGTGCCCGCCACCTGCCCGCCGGGCACCGCCTTCCACGCCGCCTCGCAGCGCTGCGTCGGCGCCGCCACCAGTAAGGGAGGGTGGTGATCCATGACCATTCTGTTTTGGTACAAAATCGACGGTCTGGCAGGACTCTCGAAAGTTTCGGTTCCTTACTTATTTGAACTACACCCCGACCCTCTTACTTTGAGTAAAACCACAAGAGCGAGGGGGGTTTGCACGCACTCGCGTGAGGGGTTTGCACGCACTCGCGTGATAGTCGCGTCACTCTGTCAGGAATGGCGCGCGAAATAGTGCGCGCAATAGCCGAAATCGAGGGCGAAATCACTCGCGTAATAGTCGGGTCATCGATTCCTAGTGAGTACATACCCCCTCGCACAGGCGCTCATCAAAATTTTTGTTTCAGCATTTTGGGTAACTTGGGTATATTCAAAGTCTGGGATATTTTTTCTCACTACCGCATCTGAAGAGATATGTTCTATGTCTTGGGTTTTTCTCCAAATGTCGGCAGTCCGTCAAAATATTCAACCTCACATTTGATTCTATGTAGTTTGTTGCATGCTCAGGGAGCCTTAGAGTCGTAAATTGCATTTTGGGGATCCATGACCATACATATTTGATTCATTTTCGTCTAAAAGTTCGCGTTTTGCTCCAGAATATGGATAAGGGTCGAACAACTGTCCCAGTTTCCTCACGGATCGTGAACCACATGCACTGTTAAAAAAATTTCATTACATTTTCATTACATGGTAGTGAAGCTATAATCATTACAATGTAATTAAAGTTTTCATTACACATATGTTATTAAAATTTTCACTACAGTGTAATGAACGAATGTAGTGAAAATTTTAATGACAAAAACGTAATGAAAATGATCAAAGTTGACGCAAATTACACAACTTTTTGTTTCAAGTTGACACAGAGTGAATTCACAACGACTCTGAATGCAGAGAAGAGGTAAAAATTGAGAGACCCAGGACGGCTCTGGTCTGAGGCAGTTTAGCTGCCTGAGTGAGAAAGATCGGGTGCTGACCCTACCAAACGGCAGCCCGTAGCCGCCTTCGAGCAACATCAGACAAACCTATTTGGTCACTTCAAATATCGCTCCATTCCCCCAAACTCTTCGCCATGAGTTAGAAAATCCAGCACTTCGCATGAACCACGGATACATTTCAGAATATCTCCTCACATTTTAATTTTTTAATACGAAATACAGAGTTGAGAGTGATCCCCGTGTACCATGCGACACCTAGCGGCAGACTTGCGAATGACAGGTTTGGCATATGACGCCGTAATGGACGACTGTAGGAGAAAAATTGATGTTGGCAGCCAATAGAAGACTAAATTAGCTTAACTTCGATCCTGGAGAAATCCAAAAAATTTCACTCATGCTTTAATACTTTTGAAAAATTTAATGACACGTAATGAAAATTTCATGACAAGGTGCATAATGTAATGAAACTTCCATTACATGGCTAATGTCATTAAAATTTATGACCGAGGTAATGAAATTTTCATTACAGGGACATTCCAGGTGAAGTCAACCAGGCCTTAGCCACCATGGGCTCCGATCCGGTTCTCGTTTTCAGGGTTTGTTACCCCTATGGTCCCATGAAATAATCGGTACTTGGTTTGGGGTCCGGCCTCCCAGGGGCTGGGCTATGGCCAATTTACTTTTTTGCTAAATATCGGAACAACGCAACTTTGGAGGGCAATATCTCAGCAACCATTGGTCGGAGGTCAAATTCGAGACCAGATTTGGAAAGAGGATGAAAAACTGAATCTTTTTTGTCTTTGAAGTTTTTACGTCCAAAAACTTTTTATAACTTTAAAACTTTAGTGAAGTTTTCAAATTAGCGCCATTTCCTAGATCCTCAACCGATTTTGACCAATCTGGGCTTAAAAGATAGCTTAAACCCTTCCCTAAACGAAAATGTTAACCAAAAAATGTGTTCGGCTTCGTTCCCGAGAACGAGCCATTTTCGTGAACCCCTGCAACCACGTATTTCACCAAATTGTAGTGACGGCCGCACTCGATACCACACTGGACGCTCTCTTAGATGTTTTCGGCTCAAAGCAAGTCTCCGGGTTGCTTTTCTGAGGTCAGAGGACCCAAGCGCCTGTCAGGTAGGCCAACAACCATCAGACCTGCAACGCACTAGTGACAACAGGGTGGCCTACCCCCGCCACACTGTGCGAAAAAACCACGGTGAATCCCGTTAATTTTTTTGCCGGGATTTACTGTAGTTCAGAACACAGGATTTACTGTGCCTGGCTACAGTATTTACTGTGCCTGGCTACAGTATTTACTGTACCTTGTACAGTATATTCCGTACTCCACTCCTGTGGTACAGTAAATCCCGTACAAAGTACAGTGGATCCTGTAAAAAAGGTACAGTAAATCCTGTACTCTGATCTACAGTGACAGCTGTACTTATCACTACAGGATTTACTGTGATTTTTTCCCACAGTGCACCTCGCCGTGATATCTACACGTGGGGGTGGGTGTTGTTGTTGTTAGTGATTGTTGCACGGCAGGGTAAGGGATGTTTCAGGCGTTTCAGTCAGCATTTGGGTACAAAAACATGTTTGAGGTTTCTGACGTCAGTCCCAGCAGATTTGACAGCACGCTTCCAGGGCATTTTAGGATTAATCTGAAGGCATACCATAGTAAATAACATTGAAGATAGAGGTTAGTAGTGTTAAAGATGATTAAGCTGTAGTTAAACGAGATACTTTTCTTTATGCTTTCCCGCAGACTTGACAGCCACGCTTTAACGGCATTTTGGCATTAATCTGAAGGCATACCAAAAAGATACTTTCCTTGACCAGGTAAATAAAAGTATCTTCTTTAACACTTCTAACCTTTATCTTCAATGTCATTGACTATGGTATGCTTCAGATTAATTGGCTGAGCGATAGCGAAGCCTGTTACTCCATTGGGGTTGAAAAGTTTTTCCTGTCTGTCTGTCTGTCCGTCTGTGTGTCCGCACTACTCCTCCTGAACGGCTGGGCCGATCTCGGTGAGATTTTGCACACTTTTTGGGCATGTCCTTGGCTCGGCACACGCGAAATTTCACTATCCTAGCTCAAGTGGTTCAGTTTTTATAGCCGAAAAACACCTAAAAAACGGCGAAAAATCGAGTTTTCTGCAGGCAGATCACTTCTGTCTTAAAGAAGGCCCCCCCCAGCCCTGACAAGTTAAAAAGGTACAAGAGATCTAGAATAAAGGGGGGTCTGGGGGGCGGAGCTCCCCAGCATGCATCAAGCTAGAAGTAACCGACGATGGACAAGCCATTGCCTGCCGAAGGCAGGCTAGCGCCGCAGGCCAAGGTAGGTACGCCAGGCGCGGATTGGAGGAACAGGCAGCGAGACATCGCGAAGCCTGTTACGACAAGACGCGGTCTGGCGTAAACCTACCTTTTTCTTAAATGCCGTTGAAGCGTGCTGTCAAATCTGCTGGGACTGACAAAGAAAACTCAAACATGTATTTTTACCCGATTGCTGACTGAAGCGCCTGAAACATCCCTTACCCTGGCGTCGTGCAACAGTAACTAACAACAACACCCACCCCACGTGTGGATATCACGGCGAGGTGGCGGGGTGTACACCCTCAGATTCTTATGATGAAAGGGCCATTGTAACATACGTTGAAATGAGAACATACGTACTACAATAAAATTCATGCGTAATACGATGATATACATGCGTAATACGATGATATACATGCGTAATACGATGAAATTCAAGCGTAATACGATGAAAAATTAAGCATATTACGTATGTGCAAATTTATCACTCGTGTAAATTTTATCAGAATGTCAGAAACATGTCTGAAATCCTGATCAAAATTCGCGCACCTCTGAAAGCTGAAATTCTGAAAACTTACTCTGATATTGATGGTGTGAGTTCTACAGAATGTCAGGAGATGTTTTCAGCTTTCAGAGGTGCGCGAATTTTGATCAGGTTTTCAGACAGGTTTTTGACATTGTGATAACATTTACACGAGTGATGCGCACCTTACGATGAAAAACCATCGTAATACGTAAAAACGGTCGTAAGATGTTGAGTGTGTAGTACTGGTCCGATCGCCCAGAGCGCGCTGCCTGTCCCACTGCAGGGGCAAGGTACACTGCAAGATCAGATGTGTGCTTAGTACACAGCTGTGGGAGTATACTTGTAAGCACACAGCTATAGGAGTATGCTTGGGTAAGCATACATCTATAGATGTGTACTTGGGCAAGCATGCATCTGTAACTGTGTCCTTGGAGAGGCATGCATTCCTCTCACCCATTTAAAAGCACACAGCCATAGATGCATGCTTGCCCAAGTACACAGCTATAGGTGCATGAGGTGCATGCTTGCCCAAGTACACTTCTATAGATGTATGCTTGACAAGCACACTCCTACAGATGTATGCTTCCAAGCATACTCCCACAGCTGTGTACCAAGCACACTTTTGATTTTGTAGTGTAGGCCACCCTGTCGTCACTAGTGCGTTGCAGGTCTGCTGGTTGTTGGCCTACCTGACAGGCGCTTGGGTCCTCTGACCTCAGAAAAGCAACCCGGAGACTTGCTTTGAGCCGAAAACATCTAAGAGAGCGTCCAGTGTGGTATCGAGTGCGGCCGTCACTACAATTTGGTGAAATACGTGGTTGCAGGGGTTCACGAAAATGGCTCGTTCTCGGGAACGAAGCCGAACACATTTTTTGGTTAACATTTTCGTTTAGGGAAGGGTTTAAGCTATCTTTTAAGCCCAGATTGGTCAAAATCGGTTGAGGATCTAGGAAATGGCGCTAATTTGAAAACTTCACTAAAGTTTTAAAGTTATAAAAAGTTTTTGGACGTAAAAACTTCAAAGACTAAAAAAGATTCAGTTTTTCATCCTCTTTCCAAATCTGGTCTCGGATTTGACCTACGACCAATGGTTGCTGAGATATTGCCCTCCAAAGTTGCGTTGTTCCGATATTTAGCAAAAAAGTAAATTGGCCATAGCCCAGCCCCTGGGGGGCCGGACCCCAAACCAAGTACCGATTATTTCATGGGACCATAGGGGTAACAAACCCTGAAAACGAGATCCGGATCGGAGCCCATGGTGGCTAAGGCCTGGTTGACTTCACCTGGAATGTCCCAATGAAAAATAATGACGTTTAATGAAAAATAATGTCAGAAATGTCATTAAATTTCATTCATTTTTAACAGTGCAAGTAAGATTAAGAAAGGCTCTGAATCTGCACACACTTATCATCTACGATGGTAACGCGAACGTAACATACGCTGAAAACAAAACATGCGTATTACGCTGAAATGTCATCGTACTACAATCGCAACCAACGTACCTTACGTTGACAACGTGCGTAATACGTTGAAAACATGCGTATTACGTTGCAAATCCTGCGTACCTTACGTTGACATTCGTGCGTATTATGCAGGTTGGAAATTGGTCGTACCTTACGATGGAAAATCA